TCAATTTCCCCGCTGTCGGACAATGGCAACCTCGACGGCCGAAAACAATAATTTTCGCTACGCGCCAAGTTCAAGCGAAGGAGGGACGGTGAATCGTAAATCCATTAAAACCGGAAATCCCCATTTCCCCGAAACTTAGCATTCTTTCAGGCAGCCTCGGACGTTAGTCTCAGAGCGGCCGGCGGACAGTTCCCGAGGCGGTGTTTAAGGAGCTGCTAAAAGCGGCGGATGAGCTAAAGTGCAAGTTACTCGTGAACTTGCAGCGCTCGTATATCATTGCGACTTCACGCGGCTATAATGCAGGCGTGTTCGCGGAAGCGTCGTCGCGCTTATTACGTGCTTATACACTCGCCGCACGAAAAAGAGGAAAGGAGGGAGAGCCGTGCAGAGAGAACGGTAATCGCGCGGATACGCTGAGGTAAACGGACGTCGCTTGTGCAAGCCGGAATAATTGTACACAGCGCGAAAACGGGCATTGCGGATGCCGCACAAGCGCGCGTAATCAAGCGCGCCCGCTAATACTCGGCCTTTGCCGAGCCGACTCTGCTCCGAGTCGCCGAGTAATACCGAAAAAATTATTGACTCACGAGGGAAATTATTTGCGACCCTTACACCGCGCGATCCTCATACCGCCCGCGCCGGCCGGTATCGCAGATTGAAAATTAATTTTTCATTCCGCGCTCGGGCTAAAGCCGAGAGTATCAGTTCTCTCGGCTTATAATTAAGCTCGTGTTATTTTATATTATATCGACGGCCGTTATTTTTCTTCCTTCCACTTTCGGAGAACTTAAACACGCCGCGGAAACGCTCGGCGAGGGTAATGAAAAGCCGGCGTCGTATTCGGAGCGAAGCTGAATTCGCCGCGGATCTCGACGATGAGGTGGCGGAAAATTTGGCGACTGTGTTGAGAAAGTTACGCGCCTCGGGTTTCTCGGATTTTTAGATATCTTTTAGATAATCTCCTCGGGATCTTTTATTTCAGCTCGCGGCACTGATGGAGCTTAAGTTTCGTGGAGGAAAGAAATATTTAGAAGATCGAGAAGTTGGCTTGACAAATTCGATTGATTTTGGAGATTCTTACCTTGATGTGTGCCACGAAATTAGTCGAAAGATGCAATATTATTGATAACGGAGGCAGCTGGACAAATTACTAAAAATAATAATGAAAAATTACTAATAATAACAAAAACTAATAATAAAGCGCCACAGTTGTAATCAAGTGGTGCGTACACTTTTCTCCAAGTCATTGCAATAAATTGCTTTCGAGTTACACCGGACAGGCTCTTATCAAACATTGACTGTAAATTAAAACCCATGGAATCCGTGACGTGTAACTTTCTCCGTACAACAAGTACGAAAATTTCCGAAACTTTCTCGGCCAACAAAAACCCTCCCTCCGTCGTCCGGGAGTTTCGGAGCCTCCGGCGGAGAAATCAACGCGTCGGGCGTCGCCGGCGCGTCACAGGCCGGAACGGCGGTCGAGGGCACGTGTCAAATCCATTCCGCATTGTCCATGCAGCAGGTGCTAAGTAGATATTGACCGTCAAGTGCCGGCAGGCACGCACGCGATCAGAAACCACGGCGGTGCGGATCGTCGCCGCCGCGGGACGCGGATTTCGCTTCCGCTTGCGAGCGCCTTGCTCACGCTTGCAAGAGTATGCGTGCCACGTGTAACACACCGTAACACACGTGTCGCATTCCCAGACGCTAACACGGATGGCCAGTGGTGATGGTGGCGGTGCTATTGGTCGCCTCTCTATCGCACGCGCGATTCATGACGGTTAATGACGCGGCTTTCGTACGAATACCTCGGCATCAGGGCATATTCGGCTATACGCAGGCATGCTTTGGCGACACATTGCCGCGCGGATTCTGGAGATTGCCATTGATACGGCCACGGCGATAGCGCGGGTCGATAGCGATCCGCGCCCAAGTGTGTGCGTGTTGATAATTAGCCCGGCGCGTTATGCACGCGCGTCGATCGCGCGACGTGAAACGCGATCGCGCGGAACGAGTGAAATTTTCAACAGGTTGCCGCCGCGAGGTGTCTGCGAGGATAATGAGTCGACTCTTATTTAGCGATTAGTTAACGCTACTTCTCTCTCTCTCTCTCTCTCTCTCTCTCTCTCTCTCTCTCTCTCTCTCTCTCTCTCTCTCTCTCTCTCTCCTTTTCTCTGGTAGGCTCAGTCGTGTCAGCCATCATTATTCCTTTTTATATCCGTCGAATATTGTTCGCAAGCAAATTTATCTGATTGCAGAAGCTCGCAAAAATTGCTCGCAAACCGTGTTTTCTTTTCCTCTCATAGTTGGATCTCAGTTTTTCTTTTGTACGCACTTAATTTTCCACTCGAGGTGCGCTAAGTGAACAAAAAGTATTTTCGAAGAATAAAATAATAATCCGAGGATTATTATTAACCTAGTAAACTCTCTCTCTCTCTCTCTCTCTCTCTCTCTCTCTCTCTCTCTCTCTCTCTTTCTCCTTTTTTCTCCTCATCTCTACTCTATCATCCTCCTGAACTTTTGCGGAACTTCTGCAATCAGATAAATTTGCTTGCAAACAATATTCGACGAATATAAAATGGCATAAATGCGGGGGCAGAGCGACGTTTAAGAAAGAAAGAGAGAGAGAGAGAGAGAGAGAGAGAGAGAGAGAGAGAGAGAGAGAGAGAGAGAGAGAGAGAGAGAGAGAGAGACGGCGCGCGGTTGACGTAGTTAACGCATTTCGATAAGATGAATAAATTCAATCATGAATCTCTCCGGCCAATTAAACGCGCGTCGCGATTGAAGGGACGGCGAGTTTACATCTGACGATGCGCACGTGTTACGCGTATGAAGAAATTGATAATTAATTTGTCATTAGTAAGTACGGTAGTCCCCGGCCGGCGACGTTTGCGGAATATTGATGACGCGGTGCTCATGCGGTGTGGCCGAGCGTATCGATACTTCATGCTACTGAATGCACGCAGTTTACCGAGATGGAATCTCGCCACTGGCTGGCCCGCACGTGGCCTATTACTATTACGGCCCGCTCGAATCAAGTCGCAATAATATTGCGCTGCCTCGGTTGAGGAACAGCTTGCGAGCAATCGAGCGGTATAAGAGAACGACGAGAGCCAATCGCGGGCCGAACTTTTGCACGTATTTCATGCAATATGAATTATTCGCAATTGAGAAATTCCACTTTTTCTCGTAATTCCACGATGACTTTACAGACATTCGTAGCGCGAGACGTGTAAGTTAGAAAATAAATCTTATTCCCTGCATTTTTGCGTGTGCTCTCGAGCATCACACACGTACGCTTATCGATATTCTCCCTCTGGAACGAAAGGTCGAGAGGTAACATGGTCGGGTAAGTTTTCGTGCGCTATAAAGCCTGTTATTGAAGGATCAGCGTTGCGTAATCGGAAAAGGAGAGAGTGAAAACGAAACGCGGAGGTAGAGAAAAAGAGAGAAAAAGAAAGAGAGAGAGAGAGAGAGAGAGAGAGAGAGAGAGAGAGAGAGAGAGAGAGAGAGAGAGAGAGAGAGAGAGAGAAGGAGTCGTTAAAAGCGTAATTTCAGCAAATAAAGTACCTGTTACCGGTTCCACTGAAAAGTTGAGATTTCGCTCCCGTTAATGGTCGTGGAGAACCATAAAGATGGAGCCGCGCGCGATTGAGATCTAAGCTTCAAAGGGTCGATGTGGTCTCGGAATTGAGGTTTCCCCGTCATTAAGACTTTAACTACTTTCCACGCCGGGCAGCGACGCGATCGAGTATAGGGGCGTCCCGATGCGTAAATGAGGAGCGCAAAATGAATTCCGCGAGATCAAAGAGCGAAACGCTTTTTCTTCTCGAGCCTTGAACCCCGCCGAGGTCTGCCGCTCCACCAGTGGCGGCGGCAATAATTTATGCACGCGATGGCAGCTCGATTGAAATATTTACTACTCCCTGGGTCTTCACACGCCCGCGGCGTGTACTACGGTCAGCGTTGTTTGCGCCTCGCTGGAAATATTGCGGAATGAATCTTGGCAAAACCGTTACCGTCGCCGCGCGCTAGCAGCGCGCTTGCAACGCGCTTGCAACGCGCTTGTTCGCGCGGCGCGTGTTCTTTAGTGCCGAGTATGTATCATTTGCATTGCGCGCAATGTGCCAGCGGTTTGAACGATCGCGCAGAAACGACCGAGAGAAAGAGAGAGAGAGAGAGAGAGAGAGAGAGAGAGAGAGAGAGAGGATTATCGTATCGAGGCGGAAAAAAAGAAACTGTTCGCGGGCGCGCGGGCGAGATAAGAGCGAAAGGCCGGTGACAAAAACTTTTAATTACGCCGCCGGCTATCCATCGCGATTAATATCCGCGCGCGAGTTTGTTCGGCAACATCGCGCTTCCGCGCGACTACGAAATCGCCGTTTGTCGGAAAATTTCGCAGCAACGGCGGCTGCCGTTGTAGTCTCTCGATCCGATTCGTGCCTCGGGAGACATCGCGCCGCGTCTAAACGCCGGGGAGTGAGGAAACGACGCGGAAGTCTGTATCGACATCCTTCAAACAAGGCAATAATTAATGGATCCCTTGTAACGCGAGAGAACCCATAATCCCGTAATCTTGGAGCGACGTTGATTTACGAGTGGCCAGTGTCATTATTCTCAAAAAGTATCAAGATTTCCGCCGCGCGATATCCAGATTCAATATCCGAATACCGCAATTTTTCAACGTCTGCTCTCTCTCTCTCCCTCTCTCCCTCTCTCTCTCTCCCTCCCTCTCTCTCCCTCCCTCCCTCTCTCTCTCTCTCTCTCTCTCTCTCTCTCTCTGTCTCTCCCTCTCGCGATTTCTATCGATACGACGCTTCTATCTCCTCATTAGACGGTGTCACGTGAAGCCGTCGTTAATTCAACACTGCAAATATCCGTGCATTAACGATTAAAGGTGCGGCGCCAGCTCGGGCCGGAGCGGCCGAGAGTCGAAACGAGCGTTGCCACTCTGACACTTGACATTTCCCTTTCTTTTCTTCTTCGCCGTTCTGTTACAGGGGAACGCATGGAAGCCATGCAACGTGACGCCGGATACGTCTCTGCCGGAAGTAACGTCAGGCACTGGCCCGGACTTCTGCTTCCGCTTTCGTGGCTTCTAATACTCGCGCGCAGCAGCCAAACTTTCTTGCTCTAGCGCACACCCCCGACAGTATTTCACGCTTACTTCTTGCCGTTTCCACGCCGCTGAGACGTAAAACCTAAAATACCTAAAACGCGACCAAGCCGATTTACATCGTAAGATGAACTCTTGTAGCCATTAAGGGCATATTGATAAGTCGTGTATATTCCAGGCGCGACGTGCTTACTAAATCCGTAACGCACGGATTTTCAGCGCGACCGTTTACGATAAGAATCACTTTCGGCGTGTATCGCGCGGACGGAGATGCGCTAGTCGAGGATTTTCCCCGCGAGTCCAGTCGAGTCGCATCGAATTGACGAAATTCCACCCGGGTCGAGTCGTCGAGACTTGATATCTAATTGACAAGATAATTAGCAATCTGGGCTTTCGGTCGAGGCTGCGCGATCAGCATGCAAGCGCCCGCGACTCGAATCGTCGAACAGTTCGAACTCGATCGACGAAGGATTCAGGCACGAATCGAATTCGAATTTTGCGAGACTCGACACTCGAATTCCGGTAGTTCGCGCATCTCTCTCCGTGCGGGCGTACAAAATGTCAAGTTGCGGAACTTAATTTAATTCTCTCAAGCATCTTAAGAGCGTGTAGTTAAGTGTAAACGGTAGTCTGTAGAATTGTGAAATGTTTCGAAGCGAGCTGTATCGCGATGGAGAAACTGACTGAAATAAAAAAATGAAGCGGAACAGCTGTCGCCATTGCCCTCGGATCACTCGGCTTTGTTTGATCACTGAGCTTTCAAATGTTTCAACAATTCGACAATTTTTAATACTTTGTATGCTGCACTCGGGCGCCCGCATTTATTATAGAATATTGTTCCGTATCGCCTTTTATCGCACAAATTTCTAATAGAGAGGATACCGATCTCTTCGTCTAGCCAAGTACTGCATGAATGATCATATTCCTCTGGCGTGTTATGATTTGACAGATCAGAATTGTTGCGACACAACTTGCTAACTTTGGAGAGGCGACGTGAACTCCTGGATTCTCACTTAAAATGTTGCACTCTTGTATTAAGCGCTATCCTGCTATCCTTAATGAGATTAAACTTCATGTATCTCCAGGATCGCTTCGCTTCTGCAATGTTTATCATACCCAGCATTATCGTACAAATTATGGTAAATTCAATCGCCTTAATAGAATTCATATACCTGCAAATAATTATTGAGATCCCTCACGGAAATTTTGTCGACGATAATATTCCTGCTCTTCCCATATAATTTTCCCGTAATTTTTGTAATTTTCTATCAACATTGTAATCTGAAACTGAATTGATCTATGCGCACGTTTAATGTTAATCAATATTCGACCTTTACTAGCTTGTGTACCAAGAGGTAATACTCGTTTATCTTTTATAAATAAATAAATAAATAAATAAATAAAGACACACAAAAAAATGTGTTCACTCACGGAATATAAAAGTCCACATAATTAAGTCTCCAATCGGTACGTGTGAAATATAATAAAGGAATCACCAACTTCTTCATTTTCAATTTCCCGGAACAAAGAGTTTGATAAGAGGACACTCGAACACAGATTTCCCAAATTAGGAATGCACTTAAATTGATCGCGCTCAAATCGATCGAGCTCAAATGAGATCGACGATAAAAACACACCGCAGCCCCGCTGCAGCGGTGGCGATTTCCAACGCTCAAACTAATTAGCGACAACTGTTACATAAATTACAGGGCGTTTCACGTGCACTCGTTTTCGGTCCCACGAGTGCGCGCAAGAAGATGACGAGCGGCTCGCGGGAGTTTAATTGAAACGCCGATGGAAATAAAGGCGAGAGTCTCGCGGAAAATTTCACGTGCGCCGTCTCGTAAATTTAAGCTCGCTCGCTCGCGCGCCCGCGCAAATAATTCATTAAATGACCCGCGATACTCCATTTGATCTCAATGTCCCGGAACGTTCTTTTCGCTGCGCCCTCACGTAATTCACGGTGTTTCTTTGAGCGCGCGGCTCTTTCAAAGTCAATGGGATTAAAGCGGCCGCGTGCGCACGCGCGGCTAATTTGATATCGCGTATCGCGCGCTGCACATCCTTCCGTCGATGCCGATGGCGCACGCGAAGAATATACCGTGAATTTCATGAAACATTCCAGTCGCGGTTGAGTGTATCTACGCGGTGCGCGCGTCGCAGGCTATTTACTCTCGTCCGCGTGTCCCGCGTGTGTGCGCTCAGAAGAAAAAAGCTCTCATCGGGCCATTGCGTGGCAGAGCGCGCCGTGTGTACGCACGCACGTGTCTGTATGTATTTAGGCGCATAATCGCCGTGCGAAATGCTCGTGCGTTTAAAATTACACGCGGCGTGACGAGGCATATTTTGTATATACTTTAATTACAAAATGTGCGCGCGCGCACGTTATGCATTTCACGGCGTGTCTCGATACACGCGCGATATTTTGCGGTGCCGCGCGCGTCACCGAGAATTTATGACTGCGCCCCCGTGCCCGCGCACACGTGCGATTATAACGCGGGGGATGACACGCGTGTGCGTGTATAATCAATTCTTTTACTCGGCGGCCTGCACGTCGATATGGGGTGAATTCATGTGACACAGGCGCCGTTGAATTATGCGTCGGCTCTCTTATAAATATCAAGTAAGATGTTGCTTGCTTATTCAAGCTTGTTCCAATATGTAAAAGAAAATTACACGCAAGCGCGAATTTGTCAGGTGCGGGGGCGAACGTGCTGCGTTGACGAACGGCAATTTCTCGCGTCGCACGCATCGCGAATTCTCAGAACATAATTCTTCCTAAATTCGCAATTCCACCGTTTTTGCCGCGCCGTTAGCTCCCTCTTCCATTCTCCTTCTCTCGCGACGTTATGTTCTCTTGATGTGTTATGAATTACAGATGGGATGAGCGAAGAGTCACATCGCGCGACAGGTAAGCTTGCGTATTTGATCGCTTGCGTGTGATCTGAATGATCGCGGAAGGACGAGGAAGAATCGCCGAGGATACGCGTCTGCCAGCCGATGACGCATGCACGTGTGTGTGTGTGTGTGTGTGTGTGTGTGCGTGTTCGAATTTTGAAATGATTCAGCTGAGATATGATAAAATTCGCCTATCTTTCGACGTTTACTACTGCCGAGGCTTTGCCAAGCGAGAGAGTTACATTTTATGCTTAACTTGATACTAGTATCTGACAATTTTATGGTTGAATAGTGTCTATGGACGTCGTAAAGGGAGAACGCGCCATTTACTACTGAACTTCAGCCCGTACCTATACGCTTCCTTTACCACTGAACGTGACGGCGTACGCCGGAGCGTGTCCTCCGCTGCCGCTACTGCTGAATATTACTTGCCGCGTTGTGTCGACTTAATGATCGCTGCTACTTTAATTTCGCCCGGAAATCCCGCAGGAGCGCAGCGGGAACAACTTTCGAAATTGTCATACAGGTACATCCCGTCCCGGAGAAAAAATGCATGAAAATTTAGAAAGACTCGGCGAAAAGCCGAGGAATATATTTCCAATTTCGAGGAATGTTACAAGAAATCGTTTCGGTTTCCGAATTTCGCAAAAAAATTTCTGCAAAAAGCGGCAAAACAAGTTCGCGCATGACGCGCGAGAATCGACGGAGGAAATTTTCCTCATATTTATTTACCTTCCCTCCGGATATTCGGTTTTATTTTCGGCTTCCGCCGGATGTTTTCCGCGCGGCTCTCTCTCGCGGAAGGATTGTAATTTGACTTAAATGCGAAGTGTCCCGAATTTATAAATGAAAATGCCGCGCGACCGGCTGCGCCCGCTTCCCTGCGGGAGTTGCGGCTGTTTTGAAATTGGCGCGCCCTATGCGCATTTGATATTCAGGACATTACCTCGTGCTGAATTATTTTTCAAGTTCGGACAGGAGCATCGGTAGTAGCAGTGGTAGTAACTCTTCCCGGCCGTGGCTCCTGTCGTCCTGTCTCAGCCATCCCTTCCACTTGCCCGCCGTCTCGCCGGGACGAATACTAGTTCAGCTTTTCTCCCGGTATGTAACCGTATATAACTGTCACTTCACCGGCACGGGGAACAGCACGAGCTGTAAAACTCGGCCGACTACGGTCAGCGTAACGCCCGACGTGTATCCAGATCCAAATTATAGTATTTGCGTGTCCTGAAACTTTTCTAGCGCTTTTACGGACCGCTGACGCGCGACTCTCCTCTCTCGTCGAAAGAGAGTCCAACTGTGAGACGGAGTAACTTCGAGGCGCTCCTTAAAATACAATCAGCGAAATACATTTCACCTCATTCCCCTCCAATGACAAGTCGATCCTCGACGCGTAAACATAAACGTAACAATACGCAGCGCTGTCAAGGACCAAATAGACGAGTGTTCTCTCGAGAAGGACGTTAAGAGCTGACAATTTGCAGGGACTTGATTGATTCGTCCTTGTACGCGTGCTTTTATCGCACGCACACACACACATACACGTACGTATGATGTCCGCAACACGGAGTGTCAATATCCTATTTAATTCAAGCGCCCCTTGCCGCAGAGGCAAGGCAATTAATCCGTGCTGTGCAAAGAGAAACTCGCCGGGGTAGCTGGGTAGATTAATTAAATCGCACGATGTGCAATTAAATCGGCGGCTGCCGAGAGGGACGCATTCCTGATCGCGCGCGATGGACAACCGTAGAAAAATGAACGAGTCGCGTGCGTCTAACGAGCCGCGCGACTCGATGCAATTGGAGCGCGTCGCGCGCGCCGTCGCGGGGATCGTTAAAAGTGGCGCTTAAGCGACGCCGAAGCAAGAATAAAATAACACTAAATTTACGGCGGGACCGTGAATCAACATGCTTTATGATTGTTCGGCTGAGCGGATGATAAAGGGCGGGGGTGCGGGGAGAGCTGGCCGAGGCCAGGTCGAACAGGGGCTCGACTGGCCGGCCGGCCGGCCGGGTGGGGGGATGAAAATTGGAAAACTGCATTGTCCAGCCGTTCCAGCCTTCTGGGACACATTCGTTAGCGGGCATCGGCCGCTGACGATAAATTTCACGTATCTTCCACTTCCCCGTCTTTCAGCCGCGCTCAAATTAAAGATCAGCCCGATCGTGATTGCTCTCTCTCTCTCTCTCTCTCTCTCTCTCTCTCGCTCCCTCTCTCTCTCTCTCTGTCTCTCCCTCGTGTCTCTTTTATTAAATATCTCGACGAGTATCGAGTATCGAGAGGTCCGTTATGAACTAGCTTGGGACGATCCGCCGGCTTGTCCCGGCTGTTCCGAGCGGATTGGACATTTGTTGCCCGAATGTCGGATGAAATTCATCCATAAGAGGTGCGAACTTGAGGCCTCGCGTTCTCAATATTCTCGCGGTCTCACGCGACCGTCTATCGTCGTGAACTCGATCTCGATTGCGTCGGATGTTCGACGAAAGCCGCTGCGGCTCGAATCCGGCGTCTTGTTGCGACACGCAGCCGAAGAGTCTCGCGTTGCGCGTCGCTCTGTGACTCTCTTCGAGGGAACACGATCTCTGCTGCTTGACACAAAATTAGAGCGGGATGGAGAGACGAGCTCTCAACGATCGACGCGCGCGCGCGTATTAATTGAGTCGTATGGGGCGCTATTGAAAGCGCGAGACATGTCGATACGGCCGGATCCCGCGAGCGAACGAGCGAGCGCGGAAAATTCGGCGCGACGGGAATAATACGCGAAATTTCGCAGTGAAGCAGCTTCGATTGGACACACACGCCCCGCGCGGCGACGCGTAACGCGCGCGGAATTTTATACGCGCTCGGCTCGAGCCGAGCCGGGCTCGCTCGAAAACGCAACCGATCTTTCTCCGACTTTTCCGCGCGCCCTGCGCGCGTTGCACATTTCACGCATCATTTTTCTTTTATTACTTTTCCCACCCCTTTTTGCTTTTTCTTGCTTCCTCGTTCCTGCTTCTCCCCCCTCCCCCTCCCGCCTTCGGTTTTTTTTTAATTCGTCGCGCGTTCGTGCGTTCAACGCGCGCCTTGTCGAAAGATTTCGATAGTCGGATAGACAAACGGCGGCTAATTTCCGCGGACCCGCCCCTGCGCGTGACCGAAACAAAAAAGGGGCCGCTTTCCGCCGTAAAAAGTGTTTGCGATCTTGCTTTGTCAACGGGCGGTTCAACTTTGTTGCTTCGAATAAACAACGGCCGACCAAACGAATGTAGCCTCCCAATAGCGCGCGTTCAACCTCGCTTTTAGCGTCCCTTTTCACGCAAATTGCCCCGAAAAGCTGGGCCAGTTAAAATGTTTACGTACGTCAAGTTTATTGCGAGGGGGATACATTCGGGCTGAAAATGCGGGCTTTTACAGGGCGCGCCGATAAAATGCGGTGTGATTTTTGCCGCGCCGTGACTCGCGGCATTTCGGGACCTTCGTGCTGATTAAAAGGCTGCGAGGAAGCGCGCGCGCGCGCGTGTGTGATAATGATTAATGAGCCGGCTCACAGCTTCCGTTCCCCGTGATATGTGGATGCGCGCGTTAAATTCACACACCGGGGCGATACAAAGTTCATATCGGTAACAATGAGCTCGCGGGACGAGTGGTTTTTCACTCGCGGCGCTAATAAAATCGCGCGTCGTTTCTTCCGCGCGTCGCGCGATCGACGCGCGTGAATGGAACGTGCGAGCTAACGCGACATTACACATACAGCTGATTACACATGCTACGTACGCACACGCGCACGCGTATGCACGTCAGGATTCTACGTCAAACGGCCTCGCTACATCGGTTTGTTCCTGCCTTCGGCAGGACGGAAAGTTACCGCGAGGCGCCGTGGATTTGACTTAAGACACCTCCGGTGTCACATAATGAGCTCGAGCTCGTTAGTGCACGAAATGGCAACAGTTGGACGCCTTTTCCCGCGACGTTGGCCTATTATCATGACAAAAGTGTCGCGCGCGTAATCCTGAATGTACAGACATCGTCGCGGCGCGATTAAATCGCCAGCGGCGACGTTAATGAGTTAACGAGGGAATTTTTTTCAGGCCGCACGCTCTTCTCAGCCGAGCGATCACTTTGCGGAGTACATTTTTATGAAATGCCAAGGGCGAGGTGAACCTACGCTTCCCGTCGGGCTTCGCTCTGCGCGTCAATCTGCGCGATGAAGATGAAAGTGGATCTTTTTCACTGACGCACAAATGCGTTTCATGCCGGACAGTAGCGTTGCGTAATTAATTACCAAATCGGCAAACGTCGAGTCTCTTAGTCGCGATCTGAAGACTGAACACCCGAGGAGATCGACGAGTTATCTCATGAATGTCGCCGACGACAATCCGCCGACGGTTGCGATACGCAATACTCTCTGTGCCGCGCAATTAAGTTGAATATCGATCCTGCTAAATTAGGACGCAATAATACAAAGACATCGGCGGAGCAGGGCGCGCTCACGATCGCACGCAGCTACGCCGGAAATAATATTTTACTGCGCGTCCGGCATATTTCTCGGTCGTAGAAAATATGCGCGTTAATTGCGTCTTCGCGACATGCCTTTAAGCTCTCGAGATGATTCTACGCACTCGCGACCATTCAAGTGTCCCTCCCTGTCGCGTCGGAATTTTGCGCTCACACATTCGCGCGCGCGCACACGCGAGAATATAACACGCGTTTATACAATATTATATGCATTCATATTCGCGGATATTATATTCATAACGGAAACGTGAGAAATACGCATTTAATTAAGACACGTGTTGCTCTATGGAGTCCGTAGAAAACAATTTGGCGATTATAAATTGCTCGGTCGCTCACCGGCGGGCGTACAAATTTAATTGAAATATATGCACATTTTAATGGTATACAGCTTCAACAAATTTGCATTGGAGTTTGCGTTGATTTGCATTCGGGATGTGTTTCGTCGAGACAATCCGATTCACTTCGATTTGTACGTCGCACGAACGGATCGGTTTGATTGACTTTTAACAGTATTAATCAGCCGGTCGTTGAAATTCATCCTTTGCGCGTCGTTTGAGTAATCGATGTTACTCGATTATCACTTCTAAACAATTTACTTAAACAGCGACCTCGCGATTTAAGTCACACTATTTTTACGGGCAGATCGCGGCACGCACATTTCCTTCGTTTCGGTTCCAATAAATTTAGGACTGATTAATAAAACAACTGATACTCGCCCCTTCTCTTGGATGGCGGAGTAAATAATGACGAAGAAAGTATCACGATCCCTTAAAACAGTAAATATATCAAAAAATTAAATATTGTATCAAATTCGTTCTATAAATATTGAGCAATAAATCAATTAATTTTGTTTATTCCTTTACCTGTTTTTTCCTTCGTTTGTTTCACAGCATTTATCCGTGGAATCAAGTAGAAGGAAGCAAAATATAATATTTATCGTTTATTTATAATGAAAATATTATTTTTTTCAGGAATTTTGAAGATCAGATTGATAATAAAATGATATATGTACATTTTAGTTCAATACTACAATTATAAATTATGAAACACAAATGTGACTTTATATTTTATACATTAGATTTACGCATTGAGGAGTAATTCTTTTCTTTCTCCATAAAAAAAATAATTTGTACAAATATATTAAATGTACATTATATTATCCCTTATTTAACGTAAAATTGAAGCAAACATGTAACTAAGTAATATTTGACAGAAAAGAAATATACTTCGAATTGTGAGATTGTGATGACAGGTACTTTACAGTTCCATCGACGATGAAACATCGAGCAAATATAAGGCCTGCAGGTGTTAATTAACAATATTGAATGTGTAAAATATCTAATGCATACTTGCGATGTACCATGATGCAAACAAAAAGCCAGCTGTTGTCCAAGATCAAACACAAGTGCCACGTATAAAAAGGAACGCCGAGTAATCTATAGCATCCAGTTTGCAATTTCTTCTGGACACCTGAATTACGATGATCAAGATGATGAAGTTAGCCATTCTGCTCGTCGTTGCCACTGTTGCTAAACGTGAGTAAATAAAACTCGATGATCACAAAGCAATGACTTATGCTGAAGCACGAAGTTATATTATCCTATAATGTGCGTATTAATTATTATACATATGTAAAATTAAGTAAATGTCACACATTACTCATGCAAAAAATAAATAGATATCTTCCATCCATTTCACCGAATAAAACATCCTCAGATGAAATAAAAAGAAATAATTGCGAATTTTATTGCTATCTACAGAAGCATACGGCGATGAACCGGAAGCTATCGTGGGTGGGAAAGACGCCATGCCTGGTCAATTTCGATGTCAAGTTTCTCTTCAAGTAGATGATTTTCATATGTGCGGGGGATGTCTTATCAATAAGACCCATGTCGTTACCGCTGCTCATTGTGTTGATGATCCCGATTATGTCAATACTATGGTACGTAATTTTTCATTGTCATTGAAAAGATCCGCTCGATTATCGATTTTTTCACAGATACATGTTTCAAATATAATATATAAGAATTGGCGATTTGGGAAAGAGTAAAATTTTATTCTTATCTTATTGCTATAGTACATTTCTTGTTACATTGTATCTTATTATATCATTATTTTATATATATTATGTGACGTGCCCTTATTATTATACATTTCTACTGTTTAATTCAACTAAACTATTCGGCTCACAGACTGTTGTAACGGGAACCATCAATTGGAAAGGCGGCGAGAGACACAAAATCAAGTACATTCGTCCGCATCCTGGCTACACTGGTAACGAAGAAGATGCTTTGGCGAATGATATCGCTATAATCACTGTAAGTTTAGTTTTCTTGCTTTAGAATCCAGCTCTGGTTAAGTGCGAAGATATAATGCGCGTAGGCAATGCTTTCAAGTCCTTGTCACTCTAGTTGAAATGGCCGATCGAAGTAAACGCGTACCAAGGTCCGATTCCTCTAGCGGATTTGGATTACGCCACTGGTAATTATCGCGGTACAGTGAGTGGATGGGGAAAGACTAGCGAAAATTCGCGATCAGCTTCATTGTATCTACAATGGATGGAGACGAACGTTTTGAGCACGGAGCGCTGCATGAGCGAACATACAGATCCTCAAACCACTGTACGTCATATATGCGCTCTAGAGAAGAGTGGGAAAGGCATTTGCAATGTGAGTGTTTTATTTTATCCTACGCTCGGTGCATCTGAAAAAAAAATGATGCGCACGTATGCGTGTTTTTCATTGAGAAAAAGAGAAATTGAGCGAGCCACTAATTAAATATATGCAATTTCTCAGGGTGACAGCGGTGGTCCGCTTATTGTCAATGGCCAGCTCTGTGGAGTCGTTTCTTGGGGCGTGCCTTGCGCTATGGGTATATCTGATGTATTCACGAATATTTACCATTATCTGCCGTTCATCAAGGAAAGCTAAGACCTGTATTGATTCAAATAATCACAATCGACTAGCAACTTATATTCCAAACATTTTTTAAGTTCTCAATTACCATACATGAGGCATAGCACATTTATCATCAATATCTTTGCCATAATATATGACTTGATATAAAAGCATAAGACATAAAACAATAAAGATATCATGCAGAATAAATTTTATGCGTATTTCTCTTGTCGACCTTCTTTTGTCTGCTACAAGAAGCTATGTTGACTAATGTCATATAAGCTAGCTTGTGATCATGTTACGAAGTGTGGACAATTAGTTGGTGCAAATGCATCGTGTATAAAGAGTGTTAATTTGTAGGTGACTATTGTTTTTAACGAATAACTGGATGCTTGAGACTTAATAAATTATATCTCATTATTTTACACGCATGTCTCCCAAATATAAAATACTAAAGGGTTACCCACGTAGATGATAAAATATCACCCATCTGCTCAATTATACCTGAATACAAACTGTTGAACGGTATTTTATCCGGTTAATTGTTTTTCAATAACCGGAAACCGGACATACAGAATTATTGCTATGATGCACAACATAATACACATTTCTTCACTTTTGATTTCGATAAAACATTTAGGACTAATTGATAAAATGATGTTCCACCGCGCAAAGAATGATATTTTACATTGCGTTTATAATGATAACATTACTTTTTCAGAAGATTACACTGTTAGCAGAATTATATGCATTTTAACTTAATATTATGGAACGAACGTGACTTACGCTTTATGTGTTACTTTTACGCGAAATCGCGTAAATCGAGAAATAATTTTTACTTTCTTTCCCGTCAAAACGAACAAATCTGTACAAATAAGTATAATATATATTAAATCGTCCCCATTTAACGTAGAATTAAAGCAGATATATGACTAAGTAATATATTTATCTACTGACGCGAAAAAAATATACTTCAAATTGTGAGGCGATAATTACATCTTTTTATCGACAGCTGAAGCATCAAGCAAATACACGGTGTACAAGTGTTATTATCAATTGAATTGTAAAATATGTAATGTATACTTGCGGTTTACTATGGTGCAAACAAAAAACCAGCTGCTGTCCAAAGTCAAACACAGGTATTGCGTATAAAAGGGAACGCTGAATAGTCTACAGTATCCAGTTTGCAATTCTTTCTGGATGCGTCTCTTGAATTACGACGAAGGAGATGATGAAATTAACTTTACTGCTCGTTATTGGCGTTATTGCCAGACGTAAGTAAACAAATCTCGGTAATAAACAATTAACAACTTATGTAGAGACAAAGTTTTTCAGTATATCTTTATATTACTTGTCGTACAAACTTCTAAACTTCTAAACGATGAAGAAAAAGAAAATATTAATACGTGGACTAAATTAAAATACCTGAATTTCATGAAACACATTTCTCACAGATATTATTCTATAATTATGGATATTAATTATTATACATTTATGAAATTATGTAAATGTAACATGTATGGAAGAACATACGTAAAAAAAAGTAAATAAATATCTTCTGTCTATTTTGCCGCTTAAAACATCTCTAAACAAAATAGAAAAAAAATAATCATGGACATGATTATTACTTACAGAGACATACGGCGATGAACCAGAAGCCATCGTGGGTGGCAACTTAGCCAGGCCAGGTCAATTTAAATTTCCAGTTTCTATTCAAGTAAATGATGCGCATATATGCGGAGGAAGTCTTATTAGCGATACTCATATCATTACCGCTGCTCATTGTGTTGCAGATCCCAATAACGTTAAAAACATGGTACGTATATTGACACTGGAATCGAAAATCGATTCACACGCTTATCGACTTTTTCATAGATACATATTTCAAATATAATATATAAAAATTAGCGCGACGAAATTTCTCTTTTTCATCAATTCACACGATTATCTTCTAATTAATTGTGATTGTTATTTAAAAAATGATACAATAAAAATATAGCACTGCCAATATCCAATGAAACCGGAAATATAAAAGATCTTTAAAAGTTAGATTTAGTATTACAAGATCTGTATACGGATCTTGTAATAAAATTTCATTTTTTTTATACTATAATACAAGTAATACAATTTTACTGTAATATATTTCTTTTGTTACATTATATTTTATTATATCATTATATTATTATATATATTTACTTATTACATTTCTACTGTTTAATTCGTCCAAACTATTCGACACACAGAGTGTTGTATCGGGAACCACCGACTTGTTAAGAGGCGGCGAGAGACATGAGATCAAGTGCGTTCGTCCACATCCTGACTACTCTGGTCGAAAAAAACATGCATGGAGGAATGATATCGCTGTGATCACTGTAAGTTCACTTCTGGTTCTTTTAGAATCCGCTAAATGCGAAGTTATAACGCGCGTAGGCAACGTTTTAAAGTATTTGTCCCTCTAGTTGAAAAAGACGATCAAAACAAACCCATACCAAGCTCCGATTCCTCTAGCGAATATGGATTATGCCACTGGCGATTATAAGGGTATAGTATGTGGATGGGGATTAATCGGCGAAACCTTGAAAGATTTGATTGACTCTACACTGAAACTTAGATCGGTCGAAATGAATGTTTTGAGCACGGAGGATTGCATGAAGGAACAAACACATGCACAAACCAATAACAAACATATATGCACTCGGGCGAACGTTAATAAAGGTTTCTGCACTGTGAGTGTCTTACCTTACTTTATGTTTTACTTTACGTGCATTTGAAAATCAGTACTCGCACGTATGCGTATTCTCATTGGGAAAGAGAAACTGAACGAGTCACTGATCAAAAATATGCAATTTCTTAGGGTGACAGCGGTAGTCCTCTTATGGTCAACGGCCAGCTCTGTGGTATTGTCTCTTGGTCCAAGTCGTGCGGTGGAAGTTTACCTGATGTATACACGAATATTTACTATTATCTGGATTTCATTAAGGAAAGTCAAAACATATGCCGATGATATAATTAATTACAATCGACTGGTAACTTATATACCAGACACTCTTTTAAGATTTTCATCACCACGTGTGATATATGGTACAATTATCATTAATATCTTTTCTCTAATTAAATATAAAAGCATAAGATAAACAATAAAAATAATAATGAATAAGCAGAATAAATTGTGTGCGTGTTTCTTTTACCGACTCCACTGTTTTTATAAAGACTAATGATCAGTATAGAGTTATTTTTGATAAATCATGTTTGGCGACCAGCGTTTACGCGGTGGGATATTCCAAAACTATGTTTTGACTCATGCTGTAAGAAGCTATATAATATATCTATCTATCTACTGACGGGAAAAAAATATATTTTAAATTGTGAGACGTTAACTCTGTCTCTGTATCGACGCCTGAGGCTTCGAGCAAATATACGGTCTACAAGTGTTATTAACAACTGAATGTGTAAAAATACATAATGCTTGCAATATACTTGCGGTGAACTATGGTGCACACAAAGAGCCAGCTGTTGTCCAAAGTGAAACAGAGAAACTGCGTATAAAAGGAGCGCTGAGTAGTCTACAGCATCCATTTTGTAATTTCATCGGAATCCGATTCCTGTATTAGGACGATCGACATGATGAAGTTAGCCATTCTGCTCGTCATTGGCGTTATTACCAGACGTGAGTAAATAAATCTCGATAATAAAAAATTAATAACTTATGCAGAGACAAAATTTTTTAGTGTATCTTTATATTCCTTGTCTTACGAACCTATAAATGAAAAAAGAAAATATTAATACATCGTCTAAATTAAAATATGTGATTTTCATGAGACACATTTCTGATAGATACTATTCTATAATTACGGATATTAATTATTATATTAATTGTTATACACATGTGAATTTATTATACATATCTAAAATTATATAAATGTAACATATATGGAAAAACTTACATAAAAAAAAGAATAAATATCTCCCGTCTATTTTACCGAATAAGACATCTCTAAACGAAATAAAAAAAAATAACTTAGACTTGATAAATAGACTTGATTATTATCTACAGAGGCATACGGCGACGAACCGGAAGCCATCGTGGGTGGCAATTTCGCCACGCCCGGTGAATTTAAATTTATAGTTTCTCTTCGAGTACGTGGTCTTCATATATGCGGGGGAAGTCTTATCAGCGATATCCATGTTGTTACTGCTGCTCATTGTGTTGAAGATCTCTATTCCGTTGATGACATGGTGTGTACATTGACATTGAAATCGGAAATCGATTCACTCGATTATCGATTTTTTTCATAGATATATATATCCCAAATATAATATACAAAAGTTAATGCGACGTGGAACTTCTCCTTTTCATCAATTCACATGTTTAATGTGAATCCTAATTAATTGTGACATTGTTATTTAAAAAAATGATGCAATTAAAATATAGCACTGTCGATATTCAACGAAATAAAGACTATGAGAGGTCTTAAAAAGTCTGTACACAAATCTTATATCGTAATAAACTTTTGTTTTTAATTTATACTATGATACAAGTAATATGTTTTTATTATAATACACATTTTTTATTATATTATATTTTATTATATCATTATATTATACATGTTTCTTTATTAGATTTTTACTTAAAATTATTTTAATTTGTCCAAATTATTCGGCCCATAGACTGTTGTAACCGGAACCATCAACTTGAGAAAAGGCGAAAAACACAAGGTCAAGTGCATTCGTATGCACTCTGGCTATACTGGCGACGAAAAGGATGGCTTGCCAAATGACATCGCTATGATAACTGTAAGCATATTTGTAGTTCTAGAATCTAGTTCTAGTTAAATGCGAAGATGTAATGCGCGTGGACAACAGTTTAAAGTACTTGTCTCTTTAGTTGAAGTCGCCGATCAAAATGAACGCGCATCAAGCTCCGATTCCTCTAGCGGATATGGATTATGGGAAAACTGGTGGCTATAAGGCTATAGTATGCGGATGGGGATATCTTAAGGAATTGTCGAGAGAGTCTCCAGTGAGACTTAGAAAGGTCGAAATGGATATTTTGAGCACGGAGCACTGCATGAAGGAACAAACATATGCACCAATCTATAAGGAACATATATGCACTCAGGCGAACGTTAATAAAGGTTTCTGCAGTGTAAGTGTCTTACCTTACGTTACGCTATCCTTTATGTGCATCTGAAAATGAATACGCGCACGTATGCGTATTCTCATTGGAAAAGAGAAACTGAGCAAGCCACTGATTAAAAATATGCAATTTCTTAGGGTGACAGCGGTGGTCCTCTTATTGTCAACGGCCAGCTCTGTGGTATCGTTTCTTGGACCGAGTGGTGCGGTGGGGATTTACCTGATGTATACACGAATGTTTACTATCATCTGGACTTCATTAAGGAAAGTCAAGACATGTGCTGATAATCCAACTAATCGCGATCGATTGACAACTTATATTTTTTTTAATTTTCAATTACCACGTGTGAGACATGGTACATTTATGATCAATATCTTTCCTATAATTAATATAAAAACATGAGATAAATAATAAAAAATATCATAATAAATAAATTTGAATTTTGGACATGTTTTTTGTTGACTCCACTGTTTAAAAACTTTATAAAAACCGACGATCAACATAGAGCTCTTTTGATAAATCACGTTTTGTCACCAGCGTTTCCGCAGTGTGATATTCTAAAATTACCTTTCGACTGATGCTATGCGGAGCTATATAATATATCTATCTACTGACGGGAAAAAAATATACATCAAATTGCAAGACGATAATTACGTCTTTATATTGACGGCTGTGGCATCGGGAAAATATACGGTCTACAAGTGTTATTAACAATTGAATGTATAAAATACATAATACTTGCGATGAACTATGATGCAAACAAAAAGCCAGCTGTTGGCCAAAGTCAAACACAGATACTGCGTATAAAAGGGAACGCCGAATAGCTTACAGTGTCCAGTTTGCAACTTTTTCTGGACGCGTTTCTTGAACTACGACGGTCGAAATGATGAAGTTAGCTATTCTCCTCGTCGTTGCCGCTATTGCTAAACGTGAGTAAATAAAACTCGATGATCGAAAATCAATAATTTGTGTGAAGAAAGTTATCCAACGTATTTTTATATTATTTGTTTTACGGACTTCTAAACGATAAAGAAAAAGAAAATATTAATATGTGTGCTAAATTAAAATACGTGACTTTCATGAGACACATTTCTGACAGATATTATTCTATAATTACAGATATTAATTATTATACATGTATGAAATTATGTAAATGTAACATATATGGAAGAACTTACATAAAAAGATTAATAGATATCTTCTCTCTATTTTACCGAATAAAACACCTCTAACCGAAAAAAAATAGACTTGATTATTACCTATAGAGACATACGGGGATGAACCGGAAGCTATCGTGGGTGGCGATTACGCTGTGCTCGGTCAAATTAAATATATAGCTTCTCTTCAAACGAATGGTGGTCATATGTGCGGGGGAAGTCTTATTAGCGATACCCATGTTCTTACCGCTGCTCATTGTGTTGAAGGTCTCCACTCCGTTAATGACATGGTATGTACATTGACATTGAAATCGAAAATCGATCCACTTGATTAACGATTTTTTCATAGATATATGTTCCAAATATAATATATAAGAATTAACGCGACGCGGAACTTTTCCATTTCATCAATTCACACGTTTATCTTCTAATTAATTGTGACACAGTTATTAAAAAAAAATGGTACAATTAAAATATAAGACTGCCGATATTCAACGAAATAGAAACTATGAAATGTCTTAAAAAAGAAAAAAGTCTGTACACAAATCTTATACCGTAATAAAATTTTGTTCTTAGTTTATACTATAATATAAGTAATACAATTTTACTATGATACTTTTTTTGTTACAGTAGATTTTATTATATCATTGTATTATATATATGTTTATTGTATTTCTACTATTTAATTCGTCCAAACTATTCGGCCCACAGACTGTTGTAACAGGAACCATCAACTGGATGATAAGCGGCCAGACCCACAAGATCAAATGCATTCGTATACATCCTAAGTACAATGGTGATCCAATGGGTGCCTACAAATATGATATCGCTGTGATCACTGTAAGCTTTTAGTTCTACTTTTAGTTCTAGAATCTAACTCTGGATAAGTGCAAAGTAAAGTGCGTAGGCAATGTTTTCAAGTACTTGTCTCTCTAGTTGGTGAAGCCGATCATAATAAACGCGAATCAAGCTCCAATTCCTCTAGCGAATATGAATTACGCCACTGGCAATTATAGGGGTACAGTATGTGGATGGGGATTGATCAATGAAAGGTGGAATATACCTATATTCAGACTTAGATGTGTCGAAATGAAGATTTTGGAAACGGCACACTGTATGAAGGAACATACATATCCACAAACCTCTAAGGGACATATGTGCACTAAGGCGGAAGTTGACAAAGCTTTCTGCAGTGTAAGTGTTTTACCTTATTTTACGCTTTACTTTACTACGTATATCTGAAAATGAGTATACGCATCTGAAAATGAATATTCCCATTGGGAAAGAGAAACAATTGAGCGAGCCACTAATTAAAAATATGCAATTTCTTAGGGTGACAGCGGTGGTCCTCTTGTGGCCAACGGCCAGCTCTGTGGCATCGTCTCTTGGTCCAAACGGTGCGGTGGGGATTCACCTGATGTATACACGAGTGTTTACGATTATCGGGACTTCATTAAAGAAAGTCAAATGATGTGCTGACAATTCAACTAATTACAATCGACTGGCAACTTATATTCCAGACATTCTTTTTAATTTTCAATTACCATGTGTAAGACATGGTACATTTATGATGAATATCTTTCCTATGATTAATATAAAAGCATGAGATAAACAATAAAAAATATCATAATAAATAAACAAAATTAATTTTAGGCATGCTTCTTTTTCCGACTCTACTTTTTTTTATAAAGACCAATGGCTAGTGTAGAGCTTCTTTTGATAAATCACGTTTGGCCACCAGCGTTTCCGCGGTGTGATGTTCTAAAATTGTAAATTATTATACATTCCGATCAATGCTATGACTTGTTAAATTTGGCCGATTTGTCGTATAAGCTTGTTTGCAATCATATTACAAAGTGTGGAAAACTAATTGGTACATAGTGCATGGTGTATAAGGAGTGTTACTTTATAGGTGACTGTATTAATTTTGACGAATAATTGAACATTTTTTTAATAAATTAAATCTCTTTATTCTGCGCACATGTCTCGCAAATAAAATGCTAAAGGGTAGATCGAATGTTTAATGAAATATCAATCGTTTGGTCAATTAAATTTTACGAACTGTTGAACAATATCTTATCCGTTTAATTTGATTTTCGATAATCGGAAATGGTTTCTTGGTTTATTATGTTGTAATAATGCTAATTTGCAGTAAAAAGCATATCCTTCGATACAATTATTATTTAAGTAGAAGACAGAAGACGTTTTGCGTAACGTTTCATTTACGATTATTCATGTGTTCCTTTGTGTTCGTTTCGGAGTGTCCCTCCGTGTAATGAAACAGAAGAAAGCAGAAAGTGATATTTACCATATTTGCGTTTATAATGATAATATTATACTCTCTCAGGCATTTCGAAGGTCAGACTGATAACGGAATAATGTGCGTTTGAATTTAATACTGCTATTATATATTACGAAACTCAATATTTTATTCTGTATTCTGTTTCGTGCATTACGAAGAACTAAATTTTATTCTTCTTTCGCGCGAAACGAAATAATTTATGCGGATGGATAAAGTCGTCGCTCATTTAAAGTGGAATTAAAATAGAGACGTATGACTGAGCGATATGTAATATGATATTTATTTAGTGACAGGAAAGAAATATATGTTTTAAATTGTGAGGTAACAGTCACATCTTTCTTTCGACGGTTGGGGCATCGAGCAAATATAAGGCGTACAGATGTTATCGGCAATTGAATGAGTAAAATAGGCAATATACGTGCAGTGTATAACACGGTGCAAACAAAGCCAGCTGTTGTACAAGGTTAAGCACAGGTTCTGCATATAAAAGAGCCACGCGGAGTGGCCACAGTATCCAGTTTGCAATTTATTTTGGATCCGATTCCTGAATTACGACGATGATGATGAAGTTAGCTATTCTGCTCGTCGTTGGCGTTATCGCCAGACGTGAGTAAACAACATTCGATAATCAAAAATCGATAACTTGTGTAGGAACAAAGTTAATCAATGTATATTTGTATCACTTGTCTTACGGAATGACGGAGAGAAAGAAGGCACTGAAATTCACGTAGTCAATTACAATAAAATATGTGATTTTCACGCGGCACGTCTTTGAGAGATAGCATCCAACAATTAATCACTACATATGTGTAAAATTATGCAAATATAACATAAATGGAGGTACTTGTATAAAAGAATGATCAGATATTTTTTTATCTATTAAATTTTCCCAGACAAATTAAATGTTCCCAGACGGAGTAAAAATAATTTATTACGGACTTTATCATCTACAGGGGCATATAGCGATGAACCGGAAGCTATCGTAGGAGGTAACGTGGCCACACCCGGTCAATTTAAATGTCAAGTTTCTCTCCAGGTATTTGACCAACATATTTGCGGGGGATGTCTCATCTCTGAAACCCATGTCGTTACTGCTGCCCATTGTCTTGAGAAACCTGATCATAGGATTGGTTTGGTACGTAAATAATTGCAGTTACTACCGGCTGCTAAATGATTCAATTATTGATATTTTCATAGATACAATTTAAAAATACAAATATAATATATAAAAATTGGCGACGCAGTACGTTTTTGCTTTTCGACCGTTGGCATCGATGTTTTCTAACTCATTCTGATCCTATTATTTACAAAAATTATATAATCAAAACAGACTCTGCTAATATCCAACAGAATTTTGAATATGAAAAGGTCTTTAAAATCTGTATGCACACCGATCTAATCATATCTTATTATATATCATTATATTACATAATATATATATTTTTCTATATTTTCTTATTATTTTTCTATTTTTAATTTGTTCGAACTGTTCGGTACGCAGACTGTTGTAACGGGAACCATTAACACGGGGAAAGGTGGCGACAGACACGGAGTCAAGTGCATTCGTTTGCATCCTGACTACACTGGTAAGAAAGAAGAGGGCTGGATGAACGATATTGCTGTGCTCACTGTAAGTCCACTTCTAATTCTAGTACCCAGTTCTAGTTAAGTACGAAGGTGTAATGCGCGTGTGCAACGATCGAAAATACTTGTCTCTCTAGTTGAAAGCGCCGGTCAGAACAAACATTTACCAAGGCCCGATTAAGCTAGCGAGTATGGATTATACCACTGGTAAACATCGCGGTCTAATAAGTGGATGGGGAAGGACCGATGTAACTTCAGCCCCTTCGCCGGTACTTAGGTGGGTCGAAGTGAACGTTTTGAGCTTGGAGCGCTGCTTGAACGGCCACAGAAATCCACCGAAAACCAATCCGAAACAAGTATGCACCCTGGAGAAGTTTGGGAAAGGTGCCTGCCAGGTAAGTGTCTCACCTTATCTTGGGCTCGGTTCATCCGAAAATGATTATACTCACGTTTACGTATCCTCATCGGGAAGAAGAGATGAATTGAGCGAGTCATTGATTCAAAATGTGCAATTTCTATTAGGGCGACAGCGGCGGTCCTCTCATCGTCAACGACGAGCTCTGTGGTATCGTCTCTTGGGTCACGCCCTGTGCTATGGGTGTATCTGATGTATTAACTAATGTTTTCCATTATCTCAAATTCATCGAGGAGTGTCAAGCCAAGTGCCCATAACTCGAATAATCGACCGGCAATCTATACATCAAATATTTTCCAAAGTTTTCAGTTACCACGCGCGTGTCAATACCATCATCGATATCTCTATTATATATATTTGATTGATATAGAATCATTATTGAAATAGATGTTAAGGACGCTTTGGTGGTGGTGTCATTTATAACTACACATTTGCTCATTTATTTCCGTTTCGGAATATCTCTCCATGTAATCCAGCAAAAGAAAGCAAAGAATGATATTTACCTGCATTTCTAATGATAATGTTATATTCTCTCAGGTACTTTGAAAGTCAGATTGATAACGAAGTAATATACGTTTTTATTTAATACCGCTATTACGAAATTACGAAACAAACGTGACTTTATGTCCTATTAGTTTTATGCATAATTAAAAGTTAAATTTTATTCTTCTTTAACGAAATAATTTATGCAATATTTATGCAAATATTTATGAAATATAATTTATATAGATGAATAAAATCTTTGGTCATTTACGGTAAAACAGATGTAAGACTAAGCAATATTATATTCACTTACTGACAGAAAAGGAATATACTGTACTTCAAATTGTGAGACGATAATTATATCTTTTTCTCGGCGGTCGAAGCATCGAGCAAATATAAGGCCTACAACTGTTATCAGCAATTGAATGAGTAAAATAAGTAATATGTGTAGTGTAACATTGTGTAAACAAAGCCAGCTGTTGTACAAGGTTAAACACAGGTACCGCGTATAAAAGAGAACGCAAAGTAGCTATAATATCCAGTTTGCAATTTGTTCTGGATCCGATTCCTGCATTACGACGGTCAAGATGATGAAATTGACTATTCTGCTCGTCGTCGGCGTCATCGCAAGACGTGAGTAAAGGAAATTCAATAATAAAAAATCAATAACACTTACATATAAATAATTCAACGTGTGTCACCTCCTGTATTTTATGAAATTTAAAATGGGAGAGAAAAATATTAATAAATATATATATATATATATATATATATTGAAATAAATTGAAATTTTTCTACGTGCACATATTTTAAGAATCTATCTTGTGAAAAATATAAAAATATATAAAATAAAAAAATATATAAAATAGTAAAGTAGTATGTAGATATTTTTTAGATATTTTATCGAGTGTACATTTTCGGACAGAATATAAATAATTGCGGAAAAGTATTAATATATTGAAATAAATTGAAATCTATAAATTTCTCTACGCACACATATTTTCAGGATATATCTCGTAATAAAAATCTATATATATATATGTGTAAAGTAATATATAGATATGTGTAAAGTAATATATAGATATCTTTTAGGTATTATATATATATATATATATGTAAAGTAATATATAGATATCTTTTAGGTATTTTATCGAGTGCGGCAAATTGTTAGACAAAGTAATAAATAATTGCGGAATGTAATTTTTACCAACACAGAGGCGTGTGGCGACGAACCTGAAGCTATCGTGGGTGGCAACTATGCCTCCGATGGTCAATTTAAGTGTCAAGTCTCCCTTGAAGTAGACGGATATCATATTTGCGGAGGTTGTCTTATCAGCGAGTACCATGTCGTCACTGCTGCTCATTGTCTCATGGATGAAGAATATAACAAAGAAATGGTGCGTACATGACAGTTGCTACCGAAAATTATTCGCTAGATCGAGAAACACGTGTAATATCAAACGGCGATACAGACAGTTCTCCATTCCTGCATTTCATGTCGCCATCTACCAATTCATTCTGATTCTTCTGTTTGATTCGTCTAAATTGTTCGGACAACGCAGATTGTCGTTACTGGGACCACCGCCCCGGCACTGAGAGGCGAGAGACACGAAATCAGATGCATGCGTTTGCACCCCGAGTACGAGAATACAAAAGAAAGCGGTTGGAAGAACGATATCGCTGTGCTCACAGTAAGTCTACTTCTAATTCTAGTACCCAGTTCTAGTTAAATACGAAGTAATGCGTGTGTGTAACGATCAAAAATACTTGTCTCTCTAGCTGAAGACGCCGGTCAAAGCAAACAAGCTCCAAGGTCCGGTTCCTTTAGCGACTGAAGATTACACCACTGGCGAATATCGCGGTATAGTACCTGGATGGGGAAAGACCGATATAAATTTACCCTCCTCAGCGGTGCTTAAATATATCGATACGGAAATTTTGAGCCAGAAGCAGTGCTTAAACAGTCACAAAAACCCACGAACCAATCCAACACAAATGTGTACTTCGAACAAGATTGGGAGAGGGGCCTGCCAAGTGAGTGTCTTATCTTACGCTTGTTGCATCTAAAAATAATTACATACACATATATGTGTCCTCATTATGGAGGATTAATGAATTTTGAACGAATCACTAATCAAAAACTGTACAATTTCTTAGGGCGACAGCGGCGGTCCTCTTCTCGTCAAGGGCCAGTTGTCTGGTGTCGTCTCTTGGGTTATACCTTGCGCTCTGGGTAGACCTGATGTGTTTACTAATGTTTTGCACTACCTGGACTTCATCAGAAGCGCCCAGAAGCCACTCACGTGCTGATAACGCGAATAATTAAATCAATCGGCAAAGCTTCAGGTATTTTCTAAAGTTTTAGGTTTCACACATGAAACATGCTAGTACTGTCATTATTTTCATCTCCCCTGGAGAGAGTTAATACAAAAGCGTAAAATAAAGAAAAAAAGTGTCATACAAAATAAATATTGTGCATCCTTTAAGATACTCTTTAATTTTTTTTTCCCAGTAAGGTTAACGAATATACAATTAAAAGAATATTTTTCCCAAGTCATATCCAGCGATCCCGCTCTCTCGAGCATGTACGAGGGCAGTCTGAAAAGTTCTCGGCCTGACACATAGATGGCATTAGAAACTGTCAAACTATAATTGTATTGGAAAGTGGCATCCCTGATATAAACCTATGTAAAATTTTATTCGATCTGTCAAGTCATTCGAGTAGTAGCACCAGTTGAAAAAGTTTTGTGCAAGATGGGTGCTAACAATTGACCAAAAACGCATTCGAATGCGTATTTCTTCTTCAAGCGTGTTTGGCACATTTTAATCGTTTTAAGCAAAATAAAATGAATTTCAAGCGTCGTTTCATAACTATTGATGAAACTTGAATCCATCACTATACACCAGAGCGAAAAGAACCTTCCGGAATCACACTTTAATAATGGTATCGAATTATCGGAAAGACGTTGGAATAAATGTATTGAAGTTTCAGGAGATTATATTGAAAAATAAAACATATTTCACGGCAAAATAATTTTCTTTCATTGTTAGGCCGAGAACTTTTCAGACTGCCTACGTAAAATGAGCTCATCAGTCAAATGGACGCTCGACGAAACGGCGAATCCTTAATTCGTAGCGTGTTACGTCCTTCTCGCAGAGTACCTGAAATTCCGGCGGGTTGTTCGAATAGCTGATAAAATATCAGCCTTCCGTCGAATTATGTTTGTCGAACGATATTTTATTCGTTTAATCGTTTTTCGGTAGTCGGAAATGGTTTCTTGATTTATTATGTTATAATAATGCTAATTTGCAGTAAAAAGCATGTCCTTCAATACAATTTTTATTTAAGTGGATACAGAAGACGCTTGGTATAACGTTTCATTTACGATTACTCATTTCTTCCTTTGTGTTCGTTTCGGAGTGTCTCTCCGTGTAATGAAGCAGAAGAAAGCAGAGAGTGATATTTACCATTGCATTTATAATTATAATATTATACTCTCTCAGGCATTTTGAAAGTCAGACTGATAACGAAATAATATACGTTTTGATTTACTACTGCTATTATAAACTACGAAACAAACTTTGACTTTATGTCTTATGTATTAGTTTTATGCATTATTAAAGATTAAATTTTATTTTTCTTTCTTATGAAACGAAATAATTTATGCAGATGAATAAAATCCTTAGTCATTTACGGTAGAATTAAAACAGACGTATGACTAAGCAATATGATATTCATTTACTGACGAGAAAGAAATATATAATACTTCGAATTATGAGGTAACGTTTCTTCCTTGAAGAGGCAGTTGAAGCATCGAGCAAATATAAGGCCTGCTACTGTTGTCAGCAATTGAATGAAGAAAATAGATAATATGTGCAGTGCAACAGGATGCAAACAAAAACAGTTGTTGTACAAGGTTAAGCACAGGTACCGCGTATCTATAAAAAAGGACGTAGAGTAGCTGCAGTTCCAGTACCTAGTTTGTAATTTGTTCTGTATCCGATTCTTCTATTACGACGGTCGAGATGATGAAATTGACTATTTTGCTCGTCGTTGGCATCATCGCAAGACGTGAGTAAAGAAAACTCGATAAAAAATCAATAATATTTACGTATAAGTAATTTGGCGTGTGTCATCTTCTGTATTTTATGAAATTTTAAATGGGAGAGGAAAATATTAATATTGAAATAAATCGAAATATGTAAATTTTTCCACGTACACGTATTTTAAGAATATATCTTATAAAAAATATAAAAATATATAAAATAAAAAAATATATAAAGTATATAAAGTAGTGTGTAGATATCTTTTATCGAATGTGACATATTTTCGGACAAAGTATAAATAATTGCAAAGAAGTATTAATATATTGAAATAAATTAAAATATGTAAATTTTCCCATGCACATATATTTTCAGGATATATCTCGTAAAAAAATATATATATGTGAAATAATATGTAGATATCTTTTTTATTTTATCGAGTGCGACACATTTTCAGACAAAATAATAAATAATTAAATTTTTAATTTAATTTAATTTTTACCAACACAGAGGCTATGGCGACGATCCCGAAGCCATCGTGGGTGACAAATATGCCTCGTACGGTCAATTTAAGCGCCAAGTCGGTCTTAAAGTTGACGATTTTATTGTTTGCGGGGGTTATCTTATCAGCGAGTACCATGTCGTCACTGCTGCTCATTGTCTCATGGATGAAAACGATAACAAAAAAATGGTACGTACATGGCAGTTGCTACCAGAAATTATTCGCTGGATTGAGAAATACACGTGTAATGTGGAAATGTCAAACGGCGGTACAGACAATTCTCCATTCTAGCATTTCGCATCGCCATCTATCAATTCATTTTGATTCTTCTGTTTGATTCGTCTAAATTGTTCGGTACGCAGGTTGTCGTTACCGGGACCATCGTCCCGCTAGTGGACGGCGAGAGACACGAGATCAGATGCATGCGTTTGCACCCCGAGTACGATAATACAATAAAAACCAGCTGGAAGAACGATGTCGCTGTGATCACAGTATGTCTACTTCTGATTTTAGTATCCAGTTTTAGTGAAGTACGAAGATGTAATGGGCGTGTGTAACGATCGAAGATATTTGTCTCTGTAGTGGAAGACGCCGGTCAAACCAAACAACTATCAGAGTCCGATTCCTCTAGCGAGTAAGGATCACACTACTAGTAAATATTACGGTACGATAAACGGATGCGGAAGGATCGGTGTAAATTTACGCTCCGCACTGATGCTTAAATATGTCGATGTGAATGTTCTGAGCCAGGAACAATGCTTGAACAGTCACAATAATCCACCAACCAATACAAAACATGTGTGTACTCTGGACAGAATTGGGACAGAAGCCTGTGATGTGAGTATCTTACCTTGTCTTACGCTCGTTGCATCTGAAAATAATTACGCACACGTACGAGGGCAGTCTGAAAAGTTCTCGGCCTAACAATGAAAGAAAATTATTTTGCCGTGAAATATGTTTTATTTTTCAATATAATCTCCTGAAACTTCAATACATTTATTCCAACGTCTTTCCGATAATTCGATACCATTATTAAAGTGTGATTCTGGAAGGTTGTTTTCGCTCTGGTGTATAGTGATGGATTCAAGTTTCATCAATAGTTATGAAACGACGCTTGAAATTCATTTTATTTTGCTTAAAACGACTAAAATGTGCCAAACACGCTTGAAGAAGAAATACGCATTCGAATGCGTTTTTGGTCAATTGTTAGCACCCATCTTGCACAAAACTTTTTCAACTGGTGCTACTACTCGAATGACTTGACAGATCGAATAAAATTTTACATGGGTTTATATCAGGGATGCCACTTTCCAATACAATTATAGTTTGACGGTTTCTAATGCCATGTATGTGTCAGGTTGAGAACTTTTCAGACTGCCTACGTATATGTGTCCTCATTAGGGAGGAGGAGTAAGGAATTTCGAACGAATCACTAATCAAAAATTATACGATTTCTTAGGGCGACAGCGGCGGTCCTCTTATCGTCAACGGCGAGTTCTCTGGTGTCCTCTCTTGGGTCACATCCTGCGTTCTGGGTAAACCTGATGTATTAACTAATGTTTACTACTTCCGGGACTTCATCAGAAGCGCCCAACTCACGTGCTGATAACGCGAATAATTACAATCGACCGGCAAGCTTCAGGCATTCTCTAAAGTTTTAGTTTCCATGTATGAAACATGCTAATACTGTCATTATTAATATCTCCTCTAGAGCGAGTTAATACAAAAGCATAAAATAAAGAAGAAAAAAAATGTCATATAAGATAATATAAATCTTGTATACTTTTCTTCCAGACTCTCTTTAATTTTTTTTTGCATTTTTTGTTAAGATTAACGAGTGTACAATTAAAAGAACATTTTTCTCAAGTCACACCCAACGATCCAGCTGTCTCGAGCATGTAAAATGAGCTCATCAGTCGCGTTCGAATGGACGCCCGACGAAACGGCGAATTCTTAATTCGTAGCGTGTTACGTCCCTCTCGCAGAGTATACGAAATTCCGGCTGGCTGCTCGAATAGCTGATAAAATATCAGCCTTCCGTCGAATTGTGTTTGTCGAACTGTCGAACGATATTTTATTCGTTTAATTGTTTTTCGATAGCCGAGAGCCGGCCCCGGCTTTCTGTACACGGTTGCGCGCGGGGTCAACGAGATGGTGAAGGCCCGGGTTATTCGTTACAATGAAACGGGATCGCGCTTTAACGGCTGCACAAGATGGCAAATATACCATATATAAAGGTGTTTTGAAAAAAGAGCTCAGGACTTTAAGGGCAGATAATAGAATGGAGGAGAAAAGCTCTAACAAACACGGGTCGAGAAGTTAATACTGTCAGATGTCATGAGAACGACCTTTTTTTTTCCATTTTATATGAGTACTGCTCTTAAAGTCCCGAACCTTTTTTTCAAACACCTTATATATGCATACCTTTTTTCAGCGGCGGAACAAATTTTTGGTGCGCGCGCGCGAGTCGACCGGAAATTAGCCGGCGCGGCATGGAGTCCCGTGTGAATGCAAATCTAAAAGCCCGGCCTGACGTGGACGTGGACCGTAATGGCGCATTGCCGAAGAAGAAACGCGTATCCGGCGTTATGCGTCCTTGTTCTTTCCATAGTAATACGCTCGGTAGTTTGTCTTTGTCAGGAAAAGCCGTTTATGCTCACGTGTGTGCGGGTTATGGTGATGTATGCCTTTGCACGGCTTTATGGGACACTATAAATGCCGGAAATAAAAACGCACCGTGTAAAATACTGCTTTTGTATCGGGGCGAACGCGAGCTGAAATTTTCACTGTAAACTGCCGGCTGAAGCAGTTTCCGAGGAACAGCGTGTCGTACGACTTTCGCATTACGCGACATTTTCACTCTAACGCGCGCGAGGTAAGGGGAGATTTATAAAATTGCACACGCTACGCGGCGGTGAGAAGCCAGAACGTTCAACGTGCGCAAACCGCAAGCACAAAGCACCGTGGCAGGCTGACGGAACCTGAAGGCTCGTTTGAAGGCCTCGGTCAAAATTAGTGCAAAGTTCCTTGTGCCATTCAGCTTTTCCCGAATCAAGCGAATCCGCGCCGCGAGTTTTGCGATCGTCGCAAGCGACATCGCGACCATCGATGCGAAAGGGTTTTAATAGTCCGACAGTAAGCGAAAAGGTCGCTGGGAAGCGTCCATTCGCGCACAACGTGCCTCGTTTCGCAGAGAGACACTATCGATCGCGATCGTCTTCGCGTATGAAACGTCAAACAGGACAGACGCGTATCCAAATTCTGACACGGCACTCACACAGTCCCGCCCCACGGCGTGCGGGCGCTGTGTACGTAGAAAAAAGGAAAAGAGAAAAGAAAAACGAAATAAAAAGAGAGAGAGGACACCGACGAGCGCGCACGCGTCGAATATTCGCTTCCCTCGCGAGCGAGCGTTCATTTTTTTTCCCTTCCTTTTTTTTCCTCCCTCTCCCGACAAGATACGCTTACCAAGCGCCATTTTCCTCCTTCGCCAATTTCGGCTTCTGTCGATCCAGCCGGCCGCCGCTGTCCCGCCCGTTCGATTTCGGAAATTCTCATAGTGTCTCGTTTTGACGGCCGCCGCTGCGGCGACGGCGGCAGCGAATTGCGCGACAGTTCGCCGCTCGGCCCGTTCGTTAATTGTCGCGGCGGCAAAGTTGGAAACAGCCGGGTGTACACGTAGTAGATGGCTGGGGCTTACCGCGCACGTATCGCGTTTAACTATGCTCCTGCGGAGTTTGTCCTCCCCGTCCGAGCGCGCGCGGCGCGGCGCGAAACGTCGCACACGTGCACCGGGGAAGAAAAATTGCGGGACAATATTCGAATTCGCCGCTCGCTTTCTCTTTTTCTCCCTCGAACGCCCGCGGAAGTCGGCCGATGGCTGTTCGCCGCTTGCGATTCCACGTTTTGACCGCATCCGTTAAAAATAGAGGATACGTCGCGCGCTCCTTTTTTTTTTTCCTACCTCTTGTTTAATTCAGGCGACAATTGCGCGCAGACACGGAGAGAGAGAGAGACGGCCCCCGACTTTCGGCCCGACGACTCTTTTTCTCATTTGCGCGATGGTTTCTACATTATTACGTCGCGCGCGTCACGCAATTAATGTCCAAATATTTCAGAGTGGCCTGGTATTCGCAGTTTAATTTTAATCGCACGTAATTATAATGCGTGATGTTGCATTAGCGTGGCAATATGGTGCGCGCAGGCGCAATTAGTTTAAAAGCTATTAAAGAAATTAAGGATGAGCTTTGTGTGTGTGTGTGTGTGTGTGTGTGTACGTGTGTGCGCGTTATAAATATTTCCGCGATATTCCGTTAATTTTTCCGTGACGAATGTCGAAGCGTGTACGCGCTTCGCGCGGTACAAATAAGAGGTGCTTATCACGTTTTAATAGTACATGCGTATGAACATCTTTTTCCTCGGCGCTGCTATATTTTCGCTGCTATATGCAAAACTAGGACGCGGTAGACTACAGCCAGCGCGCGCACATATCAGGAAACGTCGGAACGTATGGATCACGTGTACTAATTGAAACAACCGTTTCCGAATATAACGAAAAACCAGGCATCATCGCAACCATACCGGTGAATGGGCATTATGATGTCACGGGCTATTTTTGTTTTCTAAATACCTAAACGCGCGCAATCGGTGTCAAATCGAGTGACATTTTTTATTTTGTTTCTCTTCTTCTTTTTTCTAATAACGACGTCGCTCCGCACATCAATCAGCTGAATGGGTTGATTTAGAAAAATTCCAAATATATATTTCACGTCCCGTTGTGTAACGTACGCGTTAGACGATTTCATTGAATAATGCTAGAGCACACACTGCACGTGTACGATATTTTTATAATACATTTTAATACAAATGGAAGGAGTCAGGGGCTGGAGTAAATACAGCTCTCGTTGCGGCGAATGGTTCAAAATTCTCGCTTGGGTAGAAACAGCAAATTCTAAAAAAAAAAAACAAAATAAAAAAAAACAAGTGCCTGTGGCTGACAACATTATTGCCGACCGCATTTGTTTTTGCAGAAGTTGCTCCTTTTATTTAAGCGAGAAATTCAGACTGTCCAGCCTGTAGTTTAGCGCGTGCCCATTCTACTTTCTATCCGCCCCGTGGCCGATAAAAAATTTGTGCACCAATAGTTTCTAGCCTTGGCGAAAATTCCGACAGGCGGGAAAATCGCGGCAGTATTACGCGAAACCTCCGAAATACGTGATATTGTGGGCATAAATCTCGTCCGAAAATGACGTCGAGCGGGAGAGAAGCAAAGCATGGGTCTGTCTGTTTTATATCATCATTACATTTATTGAAACAGTGTATTCACGTCGATGAATATTTTTACAATATAATATTCTATATCGCCTCTTTCTCTCTCTTTCTCTCGCTTCCCCCTTTTCCTTCTTTAAACTTGCTCTCTTTTTGATTTATCCTTAAGTTCTCCTATAACATGATACATTATCGATTATGAATTTTATGTACAATGCGGTCTAGTCTTACCTATTTAATGTGCAACATTCCGTAAATATGCGAATCGCGAGATATCGATTATCTATGGTTTCACGAATAGGTATACTTCTCTCTCTCGATATTTTTCTGTTTGATCGCCCTTCGTACACGCACAGGAATGCATTATTAAATCTTATAATTGAGCCACATTTGCTGCGAGAAATTACGGCGGAATTCGTGTGTCGAAAAACGCCGAAACGGGAAATATCGCGAATGAATAAATTTTGGTTGAATCGAATTTGATTAAACATTCTGATTGCGTTGGACGTACCGATCGTCGGATACCTGCGATTCCTGCGGTCCATGAAAAGGAAAAATCAACTGTCCTTTCTCCACCGCGCCTCGATCGCGCGCCGATCGGTCTCTCCCACACTTGTATAATTCGCATCAACTCGCATCAACATAAATCACCGATGACGCAAAGTGCACGCAAAACAATATGGTAGCGCGACATTTCTCCGCCGATTTTTTTAACTCCGTCACAGTCTAAAGTTCCAGAAACGCTCGACGATTTCCAACAGCAGATAGATCCTAACTTGTGTCTTCCGAGCTACAACGTTATAAAAAATCTATGAATTCTAAGATAAATCGTATCTTAATATGTTAATCATTATGATATATTTCTTTATTCGTGTTACATTATATGTCGTAATAAACCTACCGCCTAATGATTTACCGCTATGTCCCTATATTTACGTGCAATGGATTACTACGTGATCAGATCTAGGGTCTTGCTTTCTCTCTCGTAATTTCTCGTCTCGAGACGAGAAGGAGGTTTGGACCGGAAAAATCACGGGAAGAAAAATTGATTCAGACTGTTTCAGCGATCGAAGTTTTCGTCGATCTCGTGAAATGAGCGGAGAGACGAATAAGATCAGGCAGTGTTCTTTCTACCGTTCGTAGAAGTAAAGTCCGGAAGTCCGGAAGAAAATACAGGACTCGCGATCGAATCGACACCGAAGCCCAAAGGTCGCCGTGCAACTTAGAATTAATCGCCGAAACTAAACGTCGACCTAAACTTTTGAATTTTAACAATGCGTCACGACGGCTATGTACACATATTTGTTCGGTTCACTTGCAAAACGTGTGCAGCAAGTCCTCTTTCTCTCTCTCTCTCTCTCTCTCTCTCTCTCTCTCTCTCTCTCTCTCTCTCTCTCTCTCTCTCTCTCTCTCTCTCTATCTCTCTCTCTCTCTCTCTCTCTCTCTCTCTCTCTCTTTCTCTCTATCTCTCTCTCTCTCTCTTTTGTCATTTCCCTGAAAAAAATTCTCTCGTGGATATTCAAAATATCCACGCTGATATTTTGAGGGAAAATATAAACAAATATTTTAAACGTGCAACAAACAAAAGTTTCACGTTTCACGATGTCGAGAATTTTGCAAGTGATACATCGTGAGACTTAAACACGGAACAACAATAACGATTCATCAACATTTTGCGAAAGGATGATATTTGAAGGACTCGCGGCGAAAAAAGGCGACTCTCCCCTTACGTAGTGGTTTTGCAAAGGAACCTCTTGTAACTTTTATATACTTACAACTCGGTCTCTTTCTCGAGTCATACTTTCCGCATGTCGACATATAATATTATCTTAGTACATAACGAACGCTTGTTACTCATCTATTTAAATATACGTACGTATTTTTTCCCATACTCGCTTATCCATACGCAAGAGTTCCATCTTCAGTACACTTTAATCTAACGTCCATTGCCCGTTGATCGTTGATGTCCGTTTTTGATTACGATTACACCTCGATCGAGGAAGGAATTTGTTCCGACGAGTTTTGATCTTTCAATAGAAATTACTCGGTGTTGAGCTCGAGCGAATATCTGGGGTGGAACGAAATACTTGCAGGAGAAACATTTGATCCTGTGTAAAAGCAGCGTTTTTTTGTTTATCGTACGAGTAAGACACCTCTCGATCTCCTCTCTCTCTCTCTCTCTCTCTCTCTCTCTCTCTCTCTCTCTCTCTCTCTCTCCATCTCTCTTGCTCTCTAGCGAGCACTCGTTCGGCATTCAGAATCATCGTTCGCAATAAGCAAACAGAAACATATCGAGAATAGATTTATCTACTATCACACCTAAAAAATCGTCAGTCATCTCGTGATCGTCGTTCTCCCGCGGAACAACAATATTACCGTATACTATCCACAAACGTTCCTGACGACGAGAACGTATTGTATCTGCGCATAGAATTTCGTACGAGTCAAATCAACAACCGAACAAATCGAATCTGGCCAAAATTACGAGCACGCGTGCAATTGAGAAAATGTACAGAAAATACCTCGTCGCGCGCGCGCGCGCGCGCGCACGTCAACATCGGGCTCGCGCAGAGTGAGTGAGTTAGAATTCGCGTCTCGAGTCCACGTCGTACATACAAATAATCAATGATACAAGCTATGTACAATGTTGCCCGGACCAAACAACGGGAAACGATTGATTGGTCACGTGACAATCCTCGCACGTGCATTGTACTGTACAACAAGGGGTCACACGGCGAGCCCTCCTGCACGTTCTCTCTCGCATCACTCGCTTTATGTACAGTAATCTCAGCTATTATTTCCTCCAGTTGATAATCAGCACGCGACTAGTCTCGCCGATCGTTGGATCGTTACGAACGCCAGATATTCGTAATTGTAATAATTATTCTCATTAGCCGGCGAGTCCGAAGAGCTCTCGCAACGAAATCGCGGCTCTCCTCCGCCGTTCGTCCGTTCGCGGTGTATTTCGTTGAGCCGATTCGTTGAGACGACATTTAACACGCCGATTTAATAATAGAAAAAGCGCAAGAGGGCGGGAGAACCTCGTCCGGGCGACGACACTCCTCGGAATCGCGTCGAGAATGTCGCGAATAATCCTCTGGATGTTTCACGCGCCGAGGCGCATCTTGCACGGCGGTTTTTCTTGCAAACGGGAGAGGACAGTCTGAGGAGGATTTCTATTTTCCTCTTATTCCTCGCCTTTTTCGCCTCCCCTTCTCTTTTCCCCCTCTCTTAGTCTGTTAAAAACGTACGTGCTAAGGATCGTCCGCCACGTCACTGCGTCCCTCACAGAGAGTTTGGTCCACTGCACTTGGTCCGCACTGTGATTTTCTCTCGTCGTCGTCGTCGTCGTCGTCGTCATCGTCGTCACTTCCGACCACTCGACGAACTCGACGCACAGCGTGTGACGACAGCAACAACGCGCGACGCGAAACCGATCTATCGCGCGCGGTCGACCGAGCGATTTTTTCCGCTTTTTCTTTTTCGCTCTTTTTTTCCTTCTCTTTTTTTTTTTTGATTTTCCAAACGCGGTCAGCGCCGACATTCGCGACAGCAGGTCGTCGCGCGCACGCGCTTTCACTTCAGGCTCCGTCCCGATCGAGGCTGCTGTAACGTTTGACTTTCTTTTTGATTAATTTTCTCTTTAGGATGCGCGGCTCACAACACGGCTGCTCACCTTAGCAGATTCGCGACTATGAGGGTGATGCTAGCGAGTAGAATGGTCGGGGCCACTCCGCAGCTGCCGCCATGCTGCATCGCCGCCGGATGCTCGCCTGCAGCAGAAATGTGCAAACCGCATTTAGTCAATCTTCCCTCGGTTATTTGGGGGAGTCTCTCTTCTCCAGAGATTTAAGGTCCTTAATTATACGTCGAACGTAGCATCTACCGTGAGAGACACGCGAGACATCTCGCCGGGGAGTAATATGCAAATTTTCCGTCTCGGAGACAAATAAGTAGCACGCGTTTAATATCGGTTTAAGGCTTGCTCGTCCAAGAGAGCTCCAATGAGGTGGCAAAAGGAAAAAAAAAATATTACAGATTCCTCAGGTATGCGAATCAAGAGTGAAAGTTGCAGTTAAGCAGTTCATTCCTACCGCAACGACTGATTAATTACAGCGGACTAATTATCGAATACGCACTTTTACTCGGGTGTGATGGAGAAGAATTTGTTATTCAACTTGCATTTCGACGCGAATACGGAACGAACTCCAGAGGGAAATGGCAGTATCTGGGAAAGATTTTCGAGACACGCAGGAGAGACTGAAAGAGTTTCACCGGAGCGTCCCCTTGCTAAACGTCTTGTGGCAGCGCGGAAAATTAAGGCGGGCGAGCGTCGAAACAAATTCCGTTATTCCGGCAGCTAATCCGAAATAAACTACGTCGGACTCGTTACATTGAATGTTATCTTAGAGTAGCTACATAACGCAGGAGTTTAATTGCGCGGCCCTAATTAGATTCACAATGTAGGTTAATCGCTCGTATAACGCGTTAAACGCTAAGCAGGAACTTTCTGGCCTAACGGCAATCCCGCGGCTCCGGCTCGTGGATAAAATAACCGGGAAAATAAAATGCAATGAAGCAGGCGCTCTCACGCATTTTCCTCTAAAATGAACCTTCAAAGTATTCATACGTGGTTACAAACAGCAACGTGGAACAACGTGCATTATGACGTGAGTAGTAGTTCCGGGAAACTGTGCAACGTGTTTTAAATTTATAGCGTGAATATTTCGTAAACCAAACTCTCTCTCTCTCTCTCTCTCTCTCTCTCTCTCTTTCTCTCTGCTAGACCCTTTATTATATCAAAAAAATCTCGACGTGAACCTGCTTGCTCGTTCCTCTGCTCCGCGACTTTTCACCGCAGAGAAAAAAAGAGGATTCAGAACTTTAACGGCAGATAGTATTCGCAAAACGGAGGAAACAGGTTCTGATAAACATGGGTCGAGAAATTAATATTGTTCGAATTGTGAACAACTGTTTATTTTAATTGATTTAAGCAAGCGACCTACTCGCTTCTGGCCCTTTTGTATTCTCTCATGTAATTTGTCTACGTCATTTATCGATGAAGAGTAAAAGTGTTTAAAGAAACCCCTAAAAAATTCGTAATACGATAAGCGACATGGATAAGCGACATCAGAGAATACAAAATGCCTGTCAAATGGTTGGAACAAAATCGGGAATTTTTTAAAGGGTTCGTAATTCTATACTACGAAGACGTAGTATAGAAATAGTAGTGTAAAAATAGTAGTGTAAAAATAGGAGGAGGACACTTGCTTCAATTAAAATATAAACAATTGTCTACAACTGCGTCAATATTAATTTTTTGACCCATGTTCATTAGGACTCATTTCCTTCTCATTTTGTGAGTATCACCTGCTCTTAAAATCCGGAACCTTTTTTCATAAACACCCTGTACGTGTGTGCATGCGAGCTCTGGCGTAAGAAAAAGTTTTCCGTGAAACATCGTGGATTAAGAAACGCCCGCAGGAGAGAGGGAATGCATTCTTTCCTCGAAGAGAGTAATATTCCCAGCAACATTATTCGCGACGTCCGCTTGACAGGCTTACGCGGTGCAATTGGCCGCGATAGATTCATAAAGACGACTTCCACTTAACGACACTGCCGGCCGGCGCGGCGGGGACGCGCGTTTCACGCGACGGGGTGCGGCGCGCGCCAGCCGGGGGTTGTAAAACGCTCGAGTCCGAGCGAAATATCGCTCTGTTTGACAATAACAACCGCTCCGTCGTCATCGTCGTCGTCGGGGGCAGCCCCGACGAAACAACGATTTCGCGCACAACAATGACGCGCGCGCTCGCTCGCAACGTCCACCGGCGATAAAGATAATCACGGATCCGCCGCGTTTCGGCTCGGCCGGCGCGGCGGCCGAAAAGGCCGCAATTTACGGGCAAATTGAAAATCTCATTCGGCAAAGTTACCGCTGCCATCGCCGTGCCAGGCCGTTTACCTAGGTCGGTTATCGAAAAATGACACCGGCCCGACGCACCACGACGGCGGCGGCGGCGACACGGTCAACACGCGTAATTGCGTTAATGCGCAGATAGTACGTGCCGGGGAACGGATAGCCCCGGGGTCGCGCGTACGGGTTTATCGGGAAATAATTGAAATTTGCGGTCAATTTTGCAGAGTAATCAGCTGTGTTTGAAATAACGTCGATGGCCAATGCGCCGACCGCCGACCGGTGCGCCTTGTAAATTAATTATGCAGACGAACTGCGCCGCATTAATTTTCATCCGCCACCGGAAGCGGCCGCGCAGCGCGCGCGTCCGCCCGCTCGCTCGCGCTCTCATCGGGCGTTTCCGCATGAAAGTGGTGGGCGCGCGATCGATGTCTCGATGGCTCGAAGGGGTGGCGAGCGCGTGTACGGGCCGCCGAGCGAGGCCGGGTGGACCAGGACGAGAGCTTGCGCGCGCGCGCGAGCCAAGCGTGGCGAGCGAGGCAGAAACGTTGAAGAAAGCTTGTTAAGTTCTGCAATTCGATTGCCGTGCGAGCGCGCGAGCGCACGTGGCGGCCGTTCTTCCGCCGTCCGGGGCTCGCCGAGAGGGGACGTTTGTTGATTTTCGCTGGCCGGCCCGGCCCGGCGGGCTGCTTGAAACCGAAAACATTAATCCAATCAGGCTCGGAGAGCGCAGCGGAAACGAGACGCGATAAATTCACTCGCGTCATCACTCCAGGATGTGCGCGACGGCAGCGTCTCGTCTCGAACGTGTCGAGACGAGGATCGCGGAACGTTGACAACCGCGACAACGCGGCCTTTTGTCGTCGAACGACGAGAGCGCGCCGCACCGAGAGATATATATATATATATATATATATATATATATATATATATATATATATATATACGTAGGCGCGTTCATACGGAAAAATACGTGCGCGGAAATACAAGTCCGTCTCTTTGATATTTCAGTCATCTAAGCGTGAAATCTCGAGATATCAAAGGGAGGAGGCGCGTCTTCCTCCTGCTCGTCGCTGAGAAACAGTCAACAAGTCTCAGTCGTTTTCGAGGAGGTCGTGTGTACACCTGTTGTGTACACGGCAAGAGAGTGCCTCGAATTTCCAGACACCCCATATATACGTGCGATGCGCACGGATCGCTGTTTTTTGCTATTTTCCGGGCGCGATCGCCCGGAACTTTGCCCTCGTGGAAAAACGCCGACAATGGCGTCCGGTGTCTTTGTTAAAAATCGATGTCGATTATACCGATGGCGATGGCGATGGCGAGGGAGGCGGGCGGTTGACTTGGAACAGCTGCAGTTGCGGCGCGAGTTTCGCGAGAGACGCGTGCCAGGCCGGCGCGGGCTCGCAATGATTGACAGCTCGGATTGGTGAACTTGCCAAACAAGATATTACATGTGTTATCGCGAGCGCTGCCGGCTGACAATAGATCAAAAGCGAGAGTATGCGTGCGCGCCGCGCCGGGCCGAGTACTTGCCGCGCGCGACTCCAATATACGAGCCTGTCAAACTTTATGACGGCGGATTTCGATACTTGATGAATGAACGCGCGCTCCCCGTCCCTTTCGAATGTCACACTTCAGGAGCTCGCCGGCTTCCTGTCTCTGAACTGAACTTGTGTGCCGCGCGCGCGAGCGTTTATCGACGCGAAATTTGTCAGGCGGCGCGGTCGCGAAGCCGCCGGAACAATTCGCCGCCCCCGTCAGGGGGGCGCCGAGCTTCAACAGATTTCTTCATCGAAGAGATTTCTTCCCGAAAGAAGCGCCTCCCCCTCCCCCGCTCGCTCTCCATCTCTCTATCGTTCCCTGCTTGCCTTGTCTGACAATAAGAAGGATGACGCGCGGAATTTCGAAATTCCATCGTCCGCTTGCGGAAGGAAGCAGCGTTTTGGCCAAATTCAAGACCCGCCGCGCCCGGCTCTGCCCGACGATATAATGGAATGTGGGGCGTTCTAAGGAGGCTACTTGAGTGTTTACAAGTGTATGATGATCGATCAAACGCGAATAAAGAACGGCTTTAACGGGGCTCTTAAGGACGGATGAGGTCGTTAAGGACCGGTCTTAGCCAACACGAGCGCACACTGATCGACAAAGAGAAGAGCGTAATTGCGTAGAAAAGATCCGCATATCGAATTTCTTTGGTTTGCGAGAAGATGTGCGCGTGTGTGTGTATGTGAAAATCTGTTGTACATGCATTAGCCAAGATGCTCCTTCATCGACATGAAGACGCTTTTTCAGATTTCTCCTTTTTCCTGCAGCAGGAGCGACGTGCATTTGTTTTGTGGACGAAGCGCGAGAAGCTTGTTATCCTTCGTATTAATATTGTGCAACAAATGAATTAGAGAGAGAGAGAGGGGGGGGAGCCGAGTTGCCATACAAGAATAATACATCAACTAATTACTGCATAATTACGAGTGCTGTAATGTACCCCAAATATGTATCTCCTCGAGTAAAGCAGATGGATCGGGATGTGAAAATGAATTAAAAACAGTCATAATATCCGTCTACCTTCCTTGATAAAAGATAAAAATGAGAGTAAACTGCATAAATCACCGAGACACAGAATCGCACTCGATTTGCGAGAGAGTTGACTCTCGTCCCTCGTCGAGTAACGAACTCGCGATGTTGTGCGACAGCCGCCGACAGTAGTATTTTAATATATCGGCTCTCTGCATTCTTTCCCCTTTTATATTTCCTCCCTCTCCCCCTTGGGTCGCACGGTAGCCAAAGCGCGAGCTGCACGCGCGCAGGGCTTCCGAGATCGCTGTTTAATCGAAAACACGCGGTCAGCCGCGGATTCTAATCGAATCGCGCGATGCGGTGGACGTGAAAATACGGCATTACACGCCGACATGGAAGTGTTTATACGTCGGTGCGCTCGGCGATTTTTCCGGTTATGCGGTGTCTCTCGAGTGCGCGTGTGCACGCGACGTTTATCGAAGAGCGTGCACCTGACGCAGCGGCTCGAATCAACTCTCGCGCGCGCACTCCTTCGTCGCGAAAAAAAGGAGAGAAAAGAGAGGGGGGGAGAGAGAGAGAGAGAGAGAGAGAGAGAGAGAGAGAGGGGAAGAAAAATCCACTAGTATCGGCGCGCCCGCGCTACTCGTCGTCGCAGTCGTCGCGAGCGCGGGGAAGACTCGACGCGCAATTTATGCAAATAAATCAAAGGAACTGCAAACTATACCGTCGTACCTGCGCGCGACGCGGTGCGCTCGACGGCAATCTCGACGACACCGCGACGACGGCGAGAAGCAATTACCGTGGGCTATTCAATAATGTTTAACCGATACAGCTCCGCGTCGTAGCCGCCGGATAAAACGGCCGCGCTTCGTTTGCATAAGTGAGTCGTATTAGAACGCGTCAACTGCCGCGCGAGAGAACTTGCCGGCGACTTCGCTCCACCAGCGGAGAGCGGAGAGCGGAGTCCGGCGTTTGCGAGAGCGGTGTGTCTCGTGTTTACTGAATAGGAACTAATTGATCTTTAAAGCGAACCTAAACTCCCGATATCTCAGACGTCCGTTCAATCGCCGGCGGTAATTCCGCTCGCGCCGACCCGCCACCTCGCGTCGGTCACGCGAAGCGGCCGCGCGACCGGCGCGGGGGGAGAGACCGCGACAAACTCGGGCGACGCGACGGCTTATTCGACGCGCGAGACGCGCCGGAAAGTTGAACAAAACAACGAAGCAGGGACAAACGATCTCGCCTCGTCGTCGCCGGCCGCGCCGCGCGAGCTTCCGCGCGTTTGTTCGTTGAGAATTTCGTAAATTATCGCGACGCGGCCGGCAGACCGGCTCGGCAGATAATACATGTGATATATGGAAGTTCTCGGCACGGCGCGGCGACGGCGCGGGGGTTATCTGAAAATTTTCATACCGCGGATACTCGGACGTTTCCATCGCGATATGTCATTAGAGCGGTGCACCCTTGTGCCTCCCCCTCCCCCTCCCCCGTCCGAGTAACCGAATATCCGGATGCTTCGCCCGCCGGCTGCACGTCGGCGGGCGAGGGATGATGGGACGCCCCGGATAAGTCCGAGCCGCAGCGTGCACGCAAAAAAGAATCGCTTACCATTCAGCACGTGGACCATTACGCTCGCTGGGTTCGCGTTGCTAGGGATGCAGGTGTAATTTCCGCTGTCGGTCAATCTGGCTTGTGTCACCAGTAGTCTGCTCGTCGTGCCGCTTTCCGTTTTCTCCGTCTCCAGGGAAACCCCGCCCCTGCGGTGAACACTGAATTATCGTAGATACTTTGGCGCCGTTCTCGTCACACACGTTGCTACTTTATCATTAATTCTCTTTCTCTCTCTCTCTCTCTCTCTCTCTCTCTCTCTCTCTCTCTCTCTCTCTTTCTTTCTCTCTTCCTCTCCCTCTGCAGACGAGGCTTAGGCGGAAACAAAGCGGCCGTAACGAGCGCGACGTGCGTTACAACGTCGCGATCGACGCGCCGCTCTTGTTTGCTGACGCTCCGGCGCACGCGAGCGCGGATGTAAACAAAAAAGAAAAAATAGCGTATTCGCACCAGGTGCCTCTCCGTAAAATTGATGTATGGCCTGCGCGTCGAAGACGCGAGAAATTACGATCGCGCTCGCGTCGCGCTTAAAACAAACTCGTCTCGCGCGATATTTTTATTTATGACGCTGACGCAACTAACTACGAGTGACATTGTATTAATCTTTGGCGATGCCATCACCGCGCAGAGAGAAAAAACAAAACAGAGAGAGAGAGAGAGAGAGAGAGAGAGAGAGAGGAGGGGGGGGGGAGAGAGAGAGAGCGAGAGAAGAGAGCGAAGGGGCGGGAGGGGAAGAAACGCGAGAGTAAGCGAACGTAAGCTATTTTCGTTCCGCGCGCAAAGTTATATTCGAACTAATGCCGGGCGAAATTGCCGGATCAAGGGTGGCGGCTCGCTTTTTTTGACTCCCGACGCTTCTCTTTGCACGAACTACGGTCGGGCTACGGACGGATTAAAGGTGAGATACCGGGACGCTTTCCGCTCGATCGGCCATGCCGCGAGCGGCGACCCGAAAAATCAGCCTCTTCGCTCTTGCACGGAACGTGCGTTCGCCGAGGCGCGCGGGGGAGCTTGCGAAACAACCCTCGGCCGGGGATCCCCCGGATTCAGTTATACGCTATTCCGGCAACGGGAACGGAGCGCGTTCGCGATCGAACGGAAACGTGTGTACTCGTTGCTCGGAAAGAAGGAGAGGCGAGGAGACGGGGAGAAGGGAGGGAGGGAGGGAGGGAGGGAGAGGATGAAAGCTGAGAACTCGATTCTCGCGGCTTGTACCTGGGACTGTCGAAATCCACCACGGCTGCTCCGTGATGCCAGGAAACGCTGCTGGGCGGTGTACTTTGCACATTAACGGTGCACGTGAGGCTTATCGTGCTACCCTTCTTCACATAGACGTCTTCCGGCCCCAGGATTTTCGCCTGAGCAGCTGCAACACACCGTGGAAACCGTACGCTTAAATATTCCGCACTCGTATCCACCTGCGCTAATTAACGGACGCAGACTGCGATTGGCCTGCGCGTCGTATCGGGCTTCGTATCGGGTCGCGCGCATCGATGCCGTACGACGTCGTCGGCTGCGACGACGAAACTGATTCGTTTACGAGGCATGAAATTTCGCGATATTTTTTTCCGCGGCTCGATATGACCTCTTTCTCTCTCGCTCTCTTTTCTTTTTCCATGCGGCTGTGTTTGACCGTTTTGCGTCAGCAATATGCGGGGGCTGGGGATGGAGGGTTGATCGAAAAATTGCCCTAGTGTTTTACGCGCTAATGGATAGTTCCTCCATTTCTTGCATCGAGCGATGTCTACGATTGTCTGCCGGAAGCGAGCTCGAGCTTTGACTCTCTCGCGACTTTTATTCAGCGCGGTGCGACATCGCAGTGTACGGCGGGATTTATCGCGCGCTGGAGAAAATGTTCGTATTATCAACTCCGTGTCAGCGAATGCTCGAACGAGCGGAGCGATCGACGCGTTGTAGTCTACGTATTGGTACACTTCGCCCCGGGAAAAAGAGAGGCGACACGAATCTACACGTCGGTGTATCGAGTCGACCAGATGATTACCTCGCGTCTCTCTTTCTGTCGATAAAGTGCGCCGCCGCACGTATCCACCAATATCATCGATTCCACTCGAGAGGTATTAAAGTTATCCATATCGCGAGTCTTGAGGGGATATCGCCGATTAAACAAAGCGATCTAAATGACGCGCTTCCGCGACGCGAGCAGCGCGTCGAACTTTCGACTAATCGTCGAAGTTGCTTTTCACAAAGCGCAGCCGGCGATATTTCGGTCGCGGCTCAAGGATTCAGAAGTAAAAGTAAAATTTACGGCCCTCACGCGCAGCAATAAATGCTTCAGATAAAACTTCCGACTCGGATGGATTGATTTATCGCAACGGAGATACGCGCGTGCTCGGCACGCGTACGTGACCAATTAGGCGGTAATTTCTTGAAACGCATGCGCGTGGCAGAGAAAATGCGTGGGAAATTATGACACGTGTATCTTCGCTCGTGCGGAGGTCAAATTCACCAGACTCGACGAAGAAGCCACCCTCTCACCGTCTCGCAAACAGCCGCGACGACAATCGTCGAGATAGCAGCTGAAGAAAATTTAGCGCGCGACTGATGAGCTCCTCAAGATTGTCAACAGACTACTCGGCGGCCATCTTGGATGAGAGTCTTTGAGAGAATAATAGTAATTATTATTATAGTTTATCAACGGGGAAATTTCATGTCTTTGTGAATGAGAAAATGCCTCGATCGATAATACCCGATTGATCGCGTGCGAAATTCTCCCTCTGCGAAACGGCGAAGGACTTTCTCGTTCGGCTTGATGAGTTTCACTTCGACGGACGAAGGGACGCGCAAAGTGTCGCTTCAGACACCCTGTATATTGCAATGGATCGACAGCGAACGGCGAATTTTGCACGCGCTCGGGTACTTACTTGCTGCACAAATCTTCGCTGCGATTATCAGGGAAGAGACACAAGAGACATGCGACCATGCAAAGTCGCGTAAACAAGAAGTACCGATCCCCCCGCAAACACACTCGTCAATTCTCTAAACAGGCTACGGCATTCTATCCTAAGGCTAAACAGCGCGTGCCCCGCCGGCCGGCAAAGTAAGTCCAACTGCAAGCAGCGGGTCTGAAGTCTACGGATCTGAATAAGTTGAGGCCGTTCAGACGTTCAGCTCGTTTCCACCGAACGCTTCACGCGGGCGGGCTGTATTCGCGAGAGCGGCGATGTTACGCCGGCAAATTAGCGCGCGTTAGCGTCAGCTGTATTTGCAAAGAAATATTTGCCGATAGTCCCGGCTATTTCACGTAACGAACGAACCAAGAGCGCAGCGCCGTTTCACCCTCTTCACGACCTCAACTCATTGACGAGCGAAAGCCACCAGGCCCGGACGTTAATTTGCGTTATACTATATGTATGTGTGTGTGTGTGTGTGTGTATGTGTGTGTGTGTGTGTGTGTGTGTGTGTGTGTGTGTGTGTGTGTGTGTGCGCGCGCGCGCGTGCGCGTGTGTGTGTGTGCGTGTATAGAAAGCGTCCACATGCACTCTATGGCACGTAACTACACAACGCAATAAAAGTTGTAGCCGCTAGCAAATTCAACAGCTTGGAAAAGGAGTCTGCTCTTGCGTGAGTCTAACCTGAGCTGAACGTCCGGTGAATGGCGTTCGGTGTGGTGGTGGCAGGGACAGGGGCACTTTCTGGAACGGGAGGACAGAAAAGATATCGAGTTAATCGATTTCGTCGAGATCTATTGTTTCGGGGCTGGGGATTGAACTAACGTCGAAAGCGGTAGTAGCGGTATATATGGGCCGTGTATACCTGCAGAATTCCGAGCGGAAAGGACGAGTGGTCGACGAAGTCGTTTATCGCGCACTCTTATTCGCCTGCCGGCCGCGCACCGCGCGTGGATGGGAATCGAACGGAGCTTCCGATCGCCATCTTTAACATCTCGGGCGTTTTACAGGCGCCCGAATGACGCGAATATCGGAGATCCGCAATCGCGCGTACCTGAAGACGCGAGAGGAATCAACAATGTTCACCAACGGAGGAGCAGATAAGTCTGGAATATAAGCCGTTGTCGGCGGATGACACGGGTGCGCCGATGCGTCCGCGCAGATTTTTCAGACTCGTTCGAGAGAAGGCGTCGAAGGCGAGTTTGAGCGAGGCAGTTTCGTGAGAGTTTCGGGATGTTGAGACTTTTGCGAGGAAAAGAAACGCTGACACTAGTTTGTATGAAATTTTTCTCTGCTCTGTAAGCAGTAGGCACTTGTAATCGAGTGTGAATTTTTCACGGTCGAGGGTCCGAGGGACCGTATCGATAGGACGACGAAGGAAATGACTCCTCGCGCCAAACAACAGCAGCGGATAATCCAGATTAAACGGATAATAAACGAAGACTATCTTAGCCGTCCCACCGAGGCTGATGCCGAGCGAAAAATTGCGCGGCGAGACGCTACCGACGTTTTATTGACCGCAGTTACACCTCATGGATGCTAATGGTTGTACATGGACGACGGACGTAAGGTTTTGTTGCGAGAAAACGCAGCGGAGCGAGCGTTGGTCGGACGAAGAAATTTGTCAATCCTGTCGAGGTGTCCTCATTGGCATCGACGAACGCGCGCGCGCGTTCAGGGAGACGATTATACTTCGCGCTGAGATAATGAAAGTAACTGTGATATTATGCAATCGAAAGATGCATTCAAGCTAATTTCAAGATATTTCAAGATATTTCTCGCGTGAGAGGCATGCAAGCGAAAGCTGATTGATCACTTTGCTCATGCTGGTGCGTATTTAGGTGTCCAGCGGTGTCTTTCCTGACCAGTCAGGTGATAGACACTGATAAAAGCGTTCAGATAAATGTTCCTTCATCTATCAGAAATTACGCAAAATATTTACAGCGGCAGAGAGTCATGGCAGGAGAGAGATCTAGCTTAACCCTTTCACAGTCTTCGCTTCAGTTCGTCATCGACCGCGGCCATTGTAGCGCGTCGATTGAGAGCGCGGATCGAAACGCCGTATCCAGCGTAGCGTAATAATGAGCGTCCATCGACAATCACGCGATGCAATTAGCGCTCGAGTGAGAATCGGACAAGAGACTCTCCTAGGAGGATACATTTCCGCGAGGTGTGACGCATCACCCCCGCGTTTGCTTCTCGTCTCGGACTCGCGAGCGGACTCCATGAAAGGGTTATCTGGCAGATTGCTATGCACTTCATAACCTTGATATTACCTTCGACTTTTAACGTGAAGGCTAAGTTCATTTTGGGCTCGGTGTTAACCTGGCATTCGTAAACCCCGGCGTCCCGCGACTGGACGTAGTCGATCCGCAACGTCCACTCGTCGGATGGCTCCGGATGCAGAACGGAAAATCTCCCATCTCCCGTGTAAACGTGGATCGATGACGTCAAGATATGCAAATCCCTCTTACGTATCCAGGAAACCTGCGAGCAAAGTAAACGGCGGGTTAAATTCCGTCCGACCGAAATCCCGCCATCGATTTGCCGATCCGTATAATTAATATGAACGATTTAGCCTAATTGCGACTGATTATTCTCCACGCGTGGGAGGGGGAGGGGGAGTCACTTTCCCGGGACCTAGCGCGTCGCACCGCACCCGTGCCGTTTTAAATGCCGCCAGTCCGCGGACATTTCCGGCACGCGTGTTTCGCAGGATCGCGCCGCACAGAGTGACCGCGCGATCGGATCCGGTCGGCGTGGCCAATTCGTCAAATGACGGCAATTAGTCAGTAGCGCGATTAATCGACTGTCGGTTAATCGGTAGCCAACTATCCATTTATTTGATCAATCATGTCGTCCGTCATTAACCCTTGTACTAGCGGCTGATTCGCTTTAAAAAGGGACGTTCGTCCCCGGCCAGTCCCTCCCCCCCGTTTCACCTGTCATCCTATTGTTGCCGGAAATATTTCCACTACGACAATGACTTTGGGCGGACACACGGCTGCGTGTGATGCATCGATGCTCCGCTCAACCGCCCATTGTTGCAACGCTCGCCGCACAAGCGCGCGCGTAATGTGTAACATTTCGTCCATATAAACGTTAAATATTGTCACTTCGCGTTCCGTATATAAATATTCCGGCCGAGCGAGCGATCGATCGACGCTCTCATCGCCGCCGTCGCCGCCGCCGCCGATTGTTAGCCGCCACGCGATCGAGCACGGCCGCGTCGCGCGCGGTGATAAGTGAATTACCGCATCGTTATATCAAAATTTCAGTGTAATCTGAAATTAGTTACAGCTTGGTACATGCATCACGCGTATACATACACGTCGCGGCGTGTACGGCATTGCAAACAAGGTATTAAATTTCCGCGGTTTACAGTACCGCCTATTAATCGCGGCAATAAACGGATTTCCCGGTTTAGCCCTTCAGATTTCGCGGATTTATCATCATAATTGCGGCTGCGTTGAAAGATGCATGTACGAAATATTATACGCACGCACGCACGCATGTTTACGTGCGCAATCGCGGGGAATCGTAGATCGCTTCATTATGGAATAACGTGTCGTTAGAACAACGTATCGTGCTCGCACACACACACACACACACACACACACACCACACTCCGGCGCCGCAACTTCCGCCATCTCCAAGTTCGGCGCAAAATTAGAGCTGTTTCAAAGTGCTCGAGTCGCATGAACCATTTTATGTATTAAAGCTTGGCCGGTAGCCATCATGAAGTTCTCTCGCTTGAGAGAAATCCGCGCGACGCCTCTCCTGAACTTCTCTCTCGCCTAGCCATCTATCTCAATCTCCCTTATTCCCAACGTCTCCCTGCGACTTTTTTCTCCCTTCCCCCCTCCCCCTCCCCCTCCTCCCCCCACACCCTCGCCCTTCGTCTTTTCTCCTCTTTCGCGTCTCTCGTATCAAATGGCGGGATATTATCGCGCGTTGCGGGATAATCTTCATCTTTATTCCGTTCAGTCGCGAGTCGCTAGACGGCTTAGTCGGCGCGTTACCCTACATAAGTTCAACGCGAGTCGAAGAAACGTTCCTCGGTTCGACCCGACTCGACTTGACTCGACTCAATTCGACTTCGGGATCCGACCTGACTCGAGGAAGTCTCTCTCACGCTTGTGTGGGAGTGTGTGTGTGTGAGGGTGATCGTGACAAAGCCCGGGTCGCGCGAGTCCCTCGGATACTTGCGGCAGCTTCATCGGTACCGTTTAATCGACGGCGACGGCGCACGTATAACGATCGGATTGGAAAAACGCATTAAGTCGCCCGCGCCCACGGGCTGGCGCTCGAGATGGCCGTTAAAGGTTGTCTCCGAGCCACCCCAACAATTATAGAAGTACGTGCCTCCGACCAGCACACCTACAAGGCATTCCCCGGGTCCCTTCCGACTTGCTATCGGAGCTGGCACTCCCAAGCCCAGCGGTGGGGATCGTTAAACGTATGTTCTCCCCGGGAAAAGGACACACTCTCTCTCTCCCCCCCCCTCTCTCTCTCTTTCTTCCTTCTCCTCTCCGTTTCGCCCCTCTCATTAATTATTCTCCGTCGCATCCTTCTGGGAACCACCTAGGATCTGGAGTGACGTGAATCCTTCCGCATGAAAGGGAGACTCTTGGATGGACGAAGTTCTAGATATTAAGCGGCTGATAAGGGTCGATCTTCCGATCCGGCGTGTACGTTAACTTGTGCCGAACGTCTCTCTCTCTCTCTCTCTCTCTCTCTCTCTCTCTCTCTCTCTCTCTCTCTCGCCGCCGCCGCGTCGCTAGCCGCTCCCGAAATACTTTCACGGGAAAACTTGCCCGAAGGGTGTGGAAACCGCCTCGAAATTTCATATTCGGCCACGATCAGGCGCCGCGAGCGCGTTTACAAGCCATCTCATACAAGGTACATACGTGCGCGACGGTGTACGGAGCGATGTAACGCCGGACGACGGCGAAATTATTTAGCGAAGCGGCACGATGCACGAGGCGACGAGTAAATTTCGTGTGATCACTCACGGGAAAGAGAGGGAGAGAAAGAGAGTGTCTCTCCGATTAGAAAATTATGAGACACCGTTTGTTCTCCCGTAATAGCGCGCCAAATATCAGCGACATTACGTCCCGATCTTGCCGAGCGGCGACTTCAAAGCGCCCGGGAACAGTGAGATTTCGAAGCATCTAAAATTCATAGCAATCGCGAAAGCCGCTCGTAATTTCCCAGGGAGGTTTAAGAGTCCGGAAAGGGAGAAATAGAGGGCTTTTAAGTATAAATTAGGAATACGCTCTCGCGTATCCCTTTATACGTCTCTGTTTTATCGTTTATACCTTTCCCTTTGCCGACCCCTCCGTCCTCCCACCTTTAACGTTTTGCGGCCTTATCGTTTCGCGCCTTTTACATATCTATAGTGCGGCACCGAGTCGAGGAAAATTAAATATCCTCCGCGCAGCTTCTACATTTCGCCCCGAAGGGTCAGAATCCTTCGTAACTTAACCGCGGAGAATCTTACGGTTCTTCGAACACTCCGCTTTCAGCTGAGATTACGAGGGCAGCAGTGTCACGTGCCCGTGAGACGCGTTATCGTGTCGCTTTAATGCGATAGCGGGACAAATAAATGGATCACGTTCGGCGCGTTATTCGCGACGATTGCGACTGGATACTCGATCACAGATGCGGAATAAAATCGCACCAATATTTTACGAGCCTCCAGAGATACCTGGCGGATTGTTGCGTCGGCCCAAGCCGCCATGTTCGTTTCGAAAAAGCAAGAAGGGGGGAGGAAACAGCGGGGGAGGCAACCGCGCGCGTTCTCGATGCGAAAATAAGGCTGAATTAATTTATATTTCGCCAACTTCTCTCCGGGCGTACCAACTTCGACGCTCCGGATGCCCCAGAAATACACAGCTTCTAAACGTTCCGGCGCCATTGAAGTCAAACTATCTGAAATCGGATTAAAATCTCCGCGCGACACGTTCCTAAGAACAATCGGCGCAATCTACCGGCGAGATAACCGAATTTTCGTCCCACAATTTCCAAGCGCAAGAACACCTCTCTCGCTGTTCCCGCGCGGCGGGCAAGAGAAATTACGGGGCGACAAAGGACGTTATTCGTGATGTGGCTCTGCACTTAGAAATCAACGCGTTTCTGGCGCGCGAATAGTGAGAGGGACGAAACGGAGCAGCGTCCGTTCTTGTGTTCTTGCGCGTTCTCTTTCTCTCCCTCGTGCTCTCTCTCTCTCTCTCTCTCTCTCTCTCTCTCTCCCTCTCTCTCTCTCTCTTTCCATTTTTTACCCGTCTCTCCTGTATCCCACAGGAATATCTGACGAAAGAGAAGGAGAGTAGAGGAGAGCAGAGTAAGAGAGAGAGAGAGAGAGAGAGAGAAAGAGAGAGAAAGAGGCTTACGACGAGCCGGCTAGTACATAAAACATCTCCAAGCGCAATTTGCCGGGCGGTAACCAGGGTAAGCGAGCTTTCAGTGCCTTTGGCTTTTCGCCGTTGCTACGAAGATTTGCCATTTTCTGCTTAGGTCAACCCGAAAGCGCTCTGAAAACGCGCCTCTTTGTACGGTTATATGACCGGGCGTGCGCGCGCGCCGTTCAGCGATCTCCATTTTCCTTAATTCCCGACCGACGGACGGATCGGAAGGGGTTGTGCGCGCGCGGAATTGCGCGAACCACCGAAGGCGGGTGAAATCGGGTAAAAGTTACGTTGCAATTTAGCGCAAGCTGCAGGGAGCGGCGCGCTCAAAGCGCGTGGAGAACGGCCGCGCCGACTCGGCTTTTTTTCCTTCGCGGCGAATATTCCAGCGGTGCTTTCTCGTTTAGAGAGCAGCGTCTCTCTTCGCCGGCGTCGACGATACCGCTTTGCCGATCACACGAGGTAATCGGTAATCGGCGATCCTCGCTGAGGGCGACGTGCGAATTCGACGCGTCGCTACTTCGCAAGCGCGTTGATCACGTATAACAACGATTCTCTTGCCGCGAAAAGAGAAGAAATCGGCCGCCTCGACGCCTCGGCGACGCGAATTTCCTCGGCCGCTCTCCGCGGAGAACTCGGAGAAAGATTAGCCGAAGATTATTTTCCGTCGCGACTATACGCGACTCACACCACTGCGAGACGTGTTCGCGTACCGAACCGAAGATAAATTGTATTTACGAGAGTCTCGCTGTACGAGCAGTACTCCTGCGCGACTCGCTCGACGTGCTGTGTCACAGCTCGAGTTGGCGTTCCTTTTCCTTTTCCTTGCTTTTTTTCGAGCATTCGAGCGGGATCTCGGGACGCAGTCAGGCGTGTCGATCAATTTGGACGAGACAGCTTGTATCCGGTCGGTTTTGTCTCGAGCGCGAACCAACAGACGCGCGGCAATATCGATTGACGCGGCCCAAGTAAAAGAGGGGGGAGCAAAAATTTAGGAGGAGCTGCTTGAAGGCTCTGACACGATCCATTTGCGCGTCAACTTTTAATGGCTGTATTGGCACATTCTTGTAACATCCT